TGCTGTTTCTCCATACGTCTGGTATCTTGCAGTGCAATATTAGTTTTCGTATAAGTTTTGCCATCTCTAGGGTTATACCTTCTCCTCCGTGTTTTAGAAGCTCGTAGGTTATTCCGTCTGGTCCTGGTGGCTTTCTATTTTTGAGTGAATTTATGGCTATCGCTACTTGATGAAAACTGATTTCTATTTCGTGTCTTAATTCAGGTATGTTATTGTGTTGATTATAATTTTCCTTTCCTTTAAACAGTTCCGTCAGGTATCTTTCCGATTCGTTTGCTAGTATGTTATTGTATTCCTTCAATTCTGCCATTTCTTTCCGTTGGTTTCTTATAAATCTCCATATTTGTTTTTGTGTACCGTAGAAGTCGCTTTCCATCCTTTTTGTAAACTGTTCCCAGTGTTCATTTTTTGTTCTTCTTACCAACTGCTTTGTTTCATTTCGTATTCTTCTATAATTATCTCGGGATTCTGGAGTATTTCATTTTTTGTACTTTCTTGTAGGCCTCTCGTTTATCTTTACAATTCTCTTTTATTTCCTTTCTAAACCATGGTCTATTGTTGTTATTTCTTTTGTTCAGGATAGTAAAAGGGCTGTGAGAGTATGAGCGCAAAATCGGTCATTTTCCCATGTAAATCTCTATAAGAAATTCTAAGGTAGATTCTGCTCATTTTTGGCTCATTTTGTGGTGTGGGTAAAACGACTCATCCGATCTTAACATATCCGTTATCACCTCCCCTTTCCGACGATACCTCACACGTCACGATCGGATGAGTTGGTTTACCCACACCACAAAATGAGCAGAATCGACCTTAGAATTTCTTATGGAGATTTACATGGGAAAATGACCGATTTTGCGCTCATACTCTCACAGCCCTTTTACTCAGGATGACTTTGCGTTTTCCTAGAGCTTCTGTTGCTGCTTCTTCAATGTTGTTTTTAATTTTGTCACAGCTTGCGTTTATTATATCTTCGATGTCTTTTATTTATTTCAACTGTATCTTATGTGCTAGCCTACTTTGGTCGCGTTTATATGCTCCTTTGGTACATTTCTGTGGTAGAGTCGTTCCACAGTGATTCTACATTGAATTTTTCCTCGGTGATTTCCTGTAGAAAATGTTTTGATATTATTTCCATTCTTATTTTTGCTAGTACTAGTTTGTATTCACTCCCTGCGACTGCTGAGTTTAAAGTTCGGATAAGTAGAATCTGCTTTGGGTGGATTATTCTATTAGTGACTATAAAATCAATCATAGATTTGTGCCCACTGTAGTTTTCAAATGTATATTTATACTGGAGCTTATGGTAAAAAAATGTATTATTGATTCTCAGTTCATTAAAAGCACATAGATTGGCCAAAGAGTTCTCCATCGTTGAAATCATCATCATCCAGCCGAATTTTCACATCCATTGTTGGATATAGGCCTCCTCCAAACGTCTCCAGTTCTCTCTATCTCTAGCTGCTGCAATCCAGTTTGTTTCTATTCTCCTTAGGTCGTCGGTCCATCGGGTGGGTGGTCTGCCTCGACTTCGCTTGTCGGCTCTCGGTCTCCACTTCAATAATCTCTTCGTCCATCTTCCGTCTTCCATTCTAGCAACATGTCTAGTCCACCTCCACTTTTGTTTATTGATTCGCAGTATAATATCGTCTACGCCAGTTCGTCGGCGTATCTCCTCATTTCTTACGCGATCTTTCAAGGTCAGGCCCAGCATTGATCTCTCCATTCGCCTTTGTGTTACCCTCAGTTTTTCGGCAGTAGCTTTCGTTAAAGTTAAGGTCTCTGCTCCGTAGGTCAAGACTGGTAAGATGCATTGGTTGAATGCCTTCCTTTTCAGGTGAATTGGGATATTTGTTTTAAAAATGTTTCTCATCCGTCCATATGCCGCCCATCCCAACATGATTCGTCTATTTAGCTCGCAGGTTTGGTTGTCTCTGGTTATTCATGACCCAAGTATGTGTATTTATCGATTAATTCTACCTTGTTGTTATTGATCTGTATCTTTTCGCTGGGAACCATATTGGTCATCATTTTGGTTTTCTCGAAATTTATCTCCAGCCCAGTTTCTTGTAGTATGTCATTCAGTTCTTGGAGCATGTCTTTGATCTCTCCCAGATTATCTGACAGAAGCACGATATCGTCCGCAAAACGTAGATGGTTTAATCTTTCTCCATCGATGGATATTCCTTTCTGTTGCCATGTTAGTTTTTTAAATGCATACTCAAGAACGGTAATGAACAGCTTTGGTGACATGGTATCACCTTGCCTGACTCCCCTTTTTATCTTTATTTTATTAGTTGCAGAATATAGACTTATGGTTGTTGTGGCATTTTCATATATATTTTTAATTATATTACAATATCTGTGGTCGATCCTGCAATCTTCTAGTGCTCTTAAGATGGACGGTAGTTCCACTGTATCAAACGCCTTTTTAAAGTCTACAAATATCAATGCCAAGGGACGGTTATATTCGTTAGTTTTTTCTATTAGGGTTTTTAGGCACTGCAGGTGATCGTTTGTGCCGTAATTAGGGCGGAAACCAGCTTGTTCCCGAGGTTGGTAAAAATCCAGCTTTGTCTCTAATCTATTCGTTATTATTCGGGTGTATAATTTATACAGATGGTTGAGGAGACTGATTGGTCTGTATCTTTCCAGGTCTGCTATATCTCCCTTTTTGTGTAAGAGTACAGTTATTGAATTATTCCACTTTGTTGGGATATTTTGATTCCATAGGCATAGATTAAAGAGCTTTTGAATTTTGGCTATCAGTACTGAGCCTCCTATCTTTATCGCTTCCGTGACGACACCGTCCTCCCCCGGAGCTTTGTTATTCTTCATCTTTTTTAAGGCCTTGTAAATTTCGCTCAAGGAGATCTCTGGAATATCTTCGGAACCCTAATTTTAAACCTTCCTCTGTTGATATTCGACTATATCTAGAGTCGATTGGTTGCTATATAATGTCTCATAGAATGATTCCACAATTTGTAACAAATGTTCTCTGTTTGATGTGATGTTGCCATTTCTATCCTTGAGTTTGACTATTTGTTTATTTCCATTTGTGAATTTGCGTCTCATTATTTTCATACTCTTATTTTCCTCAATGGTTTTGATGATTTTCTCATCTTTGTATTTTCTTAGGTCTTTTCTGAATTCTCTTGATACTTCCTTGTTCATTCTATTTATATCGTCGTTACTAGAGTTTTCGTCGCTTCTCAGTATTCTTCTTTGTTCCATTTTTTTCTGTGTTTCCAGACTAATTTTTTCTTCCTTCACGCTTTTTGGGCAGCATTTCTTTTGAGCTTCTGTTATTGCTTCTACTATTATGTCATTTAGAATGTTAATATCATTTGTTGATGATTTTTCTTGAAGGAATTTACCGATATGATCTTCAAAATTTTGTTCGTTGTTTGGATGTGTCCATCTGTTTATTTGCTTCTTTTTTATCATATTGTGTCGTTCATAGTTGGTATTTAACACAATGGTGGCTCTCACCATACGATGGTCGCTTGATTTCGCAAATTTATTTAGCACTGTCACATCTGTAAATATGTATCTTTTATCAGTGATAAAGTAATCGATCTCGTTTGTCGTGTTCCCATCTGGGCTTTTCCACGTCTGCGGTGAGGTTTCTTGTAGTAGTAACTATTCATTAGGAATAGGTTTTTCTCTAGTAGGAAGTTTAAGAGTGTCGCCACGGTCGTTCCGTCCCTGACTTCCAAAATTTCCAAGAGCAGTTTCTGCTGGATCCAGTTATGTTCCTATTTTGGCGTTAAAGTCTCCACATATAACTGTGAAATGTGTGCGGTTGTTTGTGATGGCTGTACTTAAATCATCATAAAAGACTTCGATCTCCTCGTCTGTATATTCTGTTGTTGGAGCATAGACTTGGATAACTTTTAGATTATATCTAGTATATATTTTAAAGGTGGCATATGTAACTCTAGTGGATACTGATTGGACAGTTTTTAGATTTCCTGCTAGCTGTTTGTTAATGAAGAATCCGACGCCTCCTACTGACTTATGTTGTTCTCCGTGATAGTAAAACAAGTGACCGGATTTTAGGGTCTCGAGGCCTTCTTCTTCTTCCATTTCTTTAAAGCTTTCATCAGAAAGTAGAGTTCTAGTATTCATGGTTTCAATTTTGAGAACTGTTTGTTTTTTAAATCATGCTCTTGTCAAATTTGTGTCCCCCCCAGAATCCTTGGGACAGAATGATAACTCAGTGTGAGAGTGTCTACTCACCTGGGGTAGTTTCCGTTTTGTTTTAAAATTTGACATTTATAAGGGTTTTTGGCTAAGTTCAATGCCACGCGAGCCATTGCGTGTTGGCAAAGTTTCCGTTTCAGTCGCCCACTTTGGGAACAGACGCTGTTTGCAGCCGCCCACTCTGGGTCAGACGCCGCTGTTGTCGCAGTATCAAAGCCGCTTAACTCATACTGTGAGTGACGCCTGTATCTGGAATTAAGCCTACAGGATTTTTACTTCCCATAGCCTTAAATCCAGTAATGACATTACTGCTGCCTAATGTCATATCCTCAGTTGATCTGCGGGTACCTACTTATTTGGCAATGCCTTATTCGTACCTGTCCTGCATATCTGCAGGAACTTTCCCTATCAGCCATATGGGACGTGCCGTGTCGAGGTTGAAATGGTTTTCATTAAATCTTAGTTGTACTCCAGGAACTATTTCATTTCCGATTCGTGCATAAAAGTCACCCACAAGATATAGGGTTCTTTATGAGGTATTTCATCCAGGAGGGTTTACAATTGTTCGTAGAATTCCTCTCGTTTCTCCTTAGTTTTGCAGTCCTCGGGGCTATATGTAGATATGACATTTAATTTTTGGTAGTCCATTGTGATATTCGTATGTATTATTCTCTCGGAGAATAACGGCAGTTATTTAAGTTGACTTAATTACTAATTGTAAATAAAAGAATCGCGCTTTTTAGTATTAATTTTATCATTAAGGTATGGGCACAGGGAGGAAAAATATAAAGATTACCAACATTTAAAATATTTTTTATTAATACTTTTAAAACAAATCGAGCAACAAAAATAACGACATATAAAAAATAAATTAGTTTATAAATTACGTAAACAATTTGCTATACTTCTGTTTATCTTCTGAATCTTGATTTTTAACTTGAATTTCAAGACTGTTCAATTCTTTGGTAACTAGTGAAGTTAGGGATTCGTCCAGTTCTATAACTTTATCAAAGTCATTTTTGGCCGCTTCAACATTCCACGCGCCTACATGGCCCTTAGCTCGCCGAAAGTAGGCTTTGACGTTGTCTAAAAAACAAATTATCTGTAGTTCACGATTTAAAGGCTTTCTTTAAAAAACGACAAAATTATACATAACGCGATAGACTTTCCAAAAGAAATTTGAAAAAACACTAGTAACTCATTTTTATTTTTCTTTAAAGCGGCTGGCCTAGACGAGATACGAACAGAACAAATAAAGCACTTTGGACCAAAAACCCTAGAGTAGCTCGTAAAAATGATGAACTGTTGCGTCCGTACATTCCAAATCCCCAAAATTTAGAGGAAAGCTAGAGTGACTGGTGGCCCTCTTAAAACCAGGAAAGGATCCGGCGGATACAAAGAATTTTAGACCTGTCTCACTTTTGTGTCACCTTTTCAAGACGTTCGAAAGAATTATACTGAACCGGATCGCTGAATCTGTGGACACTAAAATTATTTCTGAACAAGCAGGGTTTAGACCGGAAGCTATCGTAAAGTGCTATTCACAAGATACTTAAATGGGGAAGAAATCCCGAATACTTGGAAAGAAGCATGGATTACGCCAATTCACAAAAAAGGTCCAAAAGATATTTGCGGAAACTACAAATGTATCTCTGTCACCAGTACCTTTAGCAGGCTGTTTGGTAAAATCTTAAAAAACATGATCGAGAAAGAATACGAACCTCATGAACTTGAACAGCAAGCAGGATTTAGAGCTGGAAGACCTTGCGTAGACCACATATTTACCCTAACACAACTGAATGAAAAGAAAGTTGCAAGAAACCAGGAAATACATCTTTTATTTGTGGATCTCATAAAAGCATATGACACGATTCCTGTGAGTAAGCTGTGGCAGTCTCTTGAACAATCTTCATTAAATAGCACGATCATCGCCGCAGTCAAACAATTATACAATAAAGCATCATCAAAAATTAAACTAAACAATACCTTATCAGAAGAATTTCCAGTAACAAAAGGCTTACGACAAGGATGCTGCCTCTCTCCAATACTATTTAAGATCTATTTAAATGAAGCACTAAAACACTGGAAGAGATCCTGTTCAGGAATGGGAATCCAACTTGACGACGATACAACATTATACACTCTACATTTTGCGGAAGACCAAGTAGTAGTGGCAGCAGACAAGAAAGATTTAGAATTCATGACGAGACGATTGTTTATAACATATGAAGAATGGGGTCTCTCTGTAAATAGAAACAAAACGCAATACCTATGCATCAGAAATGAAGTAGAAGATCTAATGGTCAACGAACATGAAACAATCAAGAATTGTGAGGAATATATATATATATATATATATATATATATATATATATATATATATATATATATATATATATATATATATATATTGGGAACAACAATGAACAAGAGTGGGCGTACCGAAAAAGAGATAGAGCAAAAAATCGTGAAAGGAAAAAGGGTGATAGGATGCCTAAACCCGATGCTATGGTCAAAAGAACTATAAAATCAAAGAAAGCATCTCCTCTTTAACTCCATCTTTAAAAGTATAGTGCTCTATGGATGCGAAACATGGCAACTTACTAAATCCCTTGAGCGACGCCTCCTTGCATTGGAAATGGACTTCTGGAGAAGATCAGCTAGAAAATCAAGGCTTGATAGAATACAAAATGACCATATCAGAAATATAATGGGAGTCAAGTCAACCATCATTGACGAAATTCAAAGGAGACAACTGATCTGGTATGGTCAAGTGAAAAGAATGGACGACGACAGGTTGCCAAACCAAATTTTAAAATGGACGCCAAGGGAAAAAAGGAAGAGAGGAAGGCCAAAACAATCCTGGCTGGGCGGCATTCAGAAGGCAATGACGGAAAGAAACATTCACCCTGGCGAATGGAATGACCGACGTAGCTGGAAACTGGGAACCGGAAGGCGGAGAACGCTATAAAAACCGGGAGAAAAGAAAAAACATGCTGCTGCAGTCAAACTCTTAATCTCACCCAACATATTGAAGAAGGGTTTGAACGGAAAGAAATAACAGGAGTAGCGTTCATAGACCTGACTGCCGCCTATGACACAGTTAACCATCAACGGCTGCTGGTAAAACTCTACGCAATTACAAAGGATTTCCGACTAATAAGGTTAATGAAATGTCTTCTCCAGAATAGACGCTTCTACGTAACGCTCCAGTCCAAGAACAGTCGGTGGAGGGATCAAAAAAAATAGACTCCCACAGGGAAGTGTCCTCGCGCCACTGCTATACAACATTTACACGCGGATGATACAGCTGTGACAGCTCAGGGAAGTACCTTCAATGAAGTCGAAGTAAAACTGACAGATGCCCTAGAAGACTTAACCCTATACTATGACGAAAACCCAGTTAAACAAATACTAGCCAAAGCATGGGAATATGACATAGACGTCTACAATCTCTTTGTAGATTTCAAGCAAGCCTATGATTCAATAGATAGAACAATACTACCTAATATATTACAAGAATTTGGCATACCATCAAAATTAATAAGACTAGTGCAAATGACAATGACAGAAACAGAAGCACATGTATGTATTCAAGGACAGATCACTGATGCGTTTATGACAACGCAAGGACTGAAACAAGGTGACGGACTGGCTCCAACACTTTTTAATCTTGTTCTTGAATATGTAATTAGACGGTTGACGGTGGGCAGAAATAACATACTTACAAACAAATCTACCCAATTAGTAGCATACGCAGATGACATAAACATAATGAGCAGAACAAAGACTGCGGCAGAAGAAACCTACGTTCAGTTGAAACAGAGTTCAGAAGTTGTAGGGCTAACAATAAATACAAATAAAACAAAACTACTCATACAAACCAGATCAAATAGACAGGCGCAACAACAACAATTTATAGACGATATAGAATACGTGAATAGATTCACGTATTTAGGAATGGATCTGGTCGAAAATAATGAAGAAGAACCGGAAATAAATAGAAGGCTTATGCTGGCAAACAAAGCCTATTTCGCGATGGGCCACATATTCAAATCGCGAGACGTACACCGGAAAACAAAACTCCGGGTATATAAAACAATAATCCGACCCATAGTAAGTTATGGGTGTGAAACATGGGTTATAACACAGAAATCTACCAATGCATTAGACGTGTTCGAAAGAAAAATATTGCGTAGAATACTGGGTCCAATAAAGGAAAATAACAACTGGCGAATTAGATATAATAACGAAATATACGAACAATACACTGAACCAACACTAGCACAATACACTAGACTGCAGAGATTACGATGGGCAGGGCATGTGGCCCGCATGCATGAGAACAGAATCCCCAGAAAATTACTAAACGCAAGAATGCAAGGAAAAAGACCTGTTGGAAGACCAAAAAAGAGATGGGAAGACGAGGTAGATGAGGATGCCAAAAATCTCCTAAAAACACGTTCATGGAAAAGAACAGCAGTAAATAGAGATGTTTGGAGAGGTCTAATGAAGGAGGCCAAGGCCCGGCTTGGGCTGTAGTGCCATTGGATGGATGGATGACGAAAACCATCTGAAACCCAATCCTACAAAAACCCAGATGTTTGCTTAGAAACACACCTTAGAAACAAGCATGCCCAATGACACTGGGGGTGAAATAGTGTGGTCAGATGCTGGAACACAATGAGACGCCAAAATACCTCGGCGTACGTCTGGATAGAACTTTGTCTTATCGATATCACTGTCAAGATATCAAGAAAAAAGTAAGCGCCAGAAATAATATCATGCGCAACCTAACAACCCACACACTTTCCGTACTTCTGCCTTACCATTATGTTTTTCTGCCGCCGAGTTTGGAGCACCAGTGTGAGAAAACTCTGCTCATGCTAAAAACGTCGATGTTGCGTTAAATGAAACGGTTCGTATAATATCTGGCTGCCTGTAACCGATACCTATCGAAGAGGTCTACCCTATAGTTGGAATCGCTCCACCTGCTATCAGAAGACAGGTCACGTCAGAGATAGATCGAAAAAAGTAGGAGACGGATCGAAGACATCCCTTGTATGACCACCAAGTTGAGCAAAGTAGATTAAGATCTCGGAAAAGCTTTCTGAAAAAATTACGATCCCTTCCCGAAGGGCCAAAGACGCTCCGAATACACCTATGGCAAGCGTCAGCTACAACACTTTTTGCTCCCTCAGAGAAAATGACCGCTGGACACAATTTGCCGTATCCCACATGGAAAGCTCTAAACAGACTAAGAACTGGGGTTTCACGTTGTGCTAGTAACCAGAAGAAATGGAGATACCAGGGGGACGATACCTGCGACTGTGGCGCGTTTCAGAATAGTCACCATCTACTATCATGCACAGAGATGAGAGAGACCTGCACAGAAGAAGACCTATTTTTAGCGAATGACAGGGTCATCTATGTGGCCAACCATTCTTCTTTATGTGCCGTGTTCTACCGAAGGTTGGCGACCATCAAACGATAGGTTTCTCTGTTTTGTGCCGCATTTATTATGTTTGCAGCCTCTGGTATTTGAAACCATTCTCTCAAGTTTCTCAGCCAGGTTCCCATAGAACCAAACAACAACAATGGCAATAAACTAGACTCATTATTAGAAAACGATCGAATCATTTCATTCGTTCGTTCGTTTCAATACTTTTCGATCATCAACGAACTCTATTACATATTATTAAGAGGCGTAAACTAGAATATCTTGGACATATAGTCAGAGGATCAAGATATGAGTTCCTTCGGTTAATTCTCAACGGTAAAATCGAAGGAAAGAAATGGATAGGACGGAAGAAACTCTCTTGGTTGAGGAATTTGCGGCAGTGGACAGGTTAGACAGCGGACCAATTGCTACACGTAGCGCAAGACCGAGATCAGTATAATAATATTATAAGCATGGTAGTCGCCGACGTTCCGTAGGAATATGGCACTCTAAGAAGAAAATTTTCTGAGATTTTGAAACTGACTAAGATAAAACTTATCTTTTATTTTCACCTGATAGGGTAGTATCAAACCGTCAGTTTTGATTAGAAATTAGAAGGTCGGACTAATATTTTTCTAAAATCCACAAGGAAAATAATTCCTGCAGCTGGCTGTACACCACGTATCACAAAAAAGAGGTTAAATCTTTGTAAGTGGGTATATTTAAAAAATCCTTAAAAGGGCTACATCAAATTAACACGAACGTTTTCGGAATAATAATTCCATCATCAGGTTAAAAATGCAGGTTAACATGCCTGAGCTACCAAAATATTAGGGTAAAAACCCTTTAAAATAAATAAGGTTACCAAAGATTGTACATATTGTTGTTAATAATATTTGATGTTTAATATTTAATTATATTTTACTTCAGGTAACATACACCCATGCCTTACGTGAGTACCAGCGTCCTCTTCAAACGGACTTCAGCTGATAACTGAAGTTGTGAATTGTTCACTTGTTCTAGTGAATAGCGAATAAAAATATCTAATTTAGCTTACCTTTATCAGACTTTAAAACGTTCGTACAATGCTCAATCACTGCGTAAAAATCACCTTCTTGTAATTTGCACTGAGCATAATTAAGAAGTATGGGCACTTTTTGTTTATCCATTTCATTCCACTCAATATCATGGGGTTTTTCTCTTAAAAATAAATTAATCATATAATTCTTGTAAAGGGTGTTTTTTAGGGGTATAGAAATGTAAGTTGGTAACACTTTTTTAACTGTCGGCTATTTTGACAGCTGTCAAGTGCTTTATGTTAAGTTTGGTTTGGCATTTCAGCATGAATAGACTTGACGCCTGAACAACGCTTCCAAATTGTACAAATTTAATGATAATATGCATCCCTAGACACGTCTTATAATGCGTACACAAGAAGTTGTTGCTGCTGTAGCGTAACATACAAAAAGACCCGAATCAGTCTCTCTGCCAACGTGCACAGCAGTTGGATATGTGTCCATCCACTTTATGGAAGATTTCACGTAAAGATCTTGCTTTGCTTGCTTACAAAATGCAAGAATTGAAGGTATATAATCACCTAGCAAAGTGTAGATTTGGTGAGTGAGTCCCAAAACTAGATTGACGTTTCCGATTTTCATAAGCGAATTTTGTTTAGCGATTAAGCATACTTTTGGTTGAACGGCTACATCAACAAACAAAACTACCCCATTTGGAGTTATGATAATCCTCAAATGTATGTTAAGAAACCATTACATCCAAAAAAAACTGACTGTTTGGTGTGCTTTATGGTCTGGTGGAATCATTGGACCGTACTTATTCAAAAACGATGCTATCCAGAACGTTACAGTCATTGGGGACGGCTATAGAGCCATGATTACTGCCTTTTTTATTCCCCAATTGAACAACCATGATGTGCAGGAGCTATCGTTTCAATAAGACGTCGCAATATGTCACACAGCTCGTGACAAAATTGCAGACAACATTTGCAGCGTTATTGCGGCGACAAATATTGGAAAAAGTGATCTAAAATTGGACATCCAGATTAGACTACGTTAGAGCCAGCCATGACGGTCATATGCCAAAAATCGTATTTAAATTATAATGCCAAAGCATTACCTATCGAATAAAGTTAATTTCATGTCAATTTATAAAAAATATTTTTGATTTTTTCCATTTCAAAGTTCTATACCTCTTAAAAAACACCCTTTAGATTAATTTCACGAAATTAGATAGAAGTCGCATCATTGAAAATATGTATTTTTTGAACGAATACTATAAAAAAAAATCACTGTAATAGTAGTCGGTAATGTTATAAGTAATGAAAATCATTATAATTACTTTAACATAAGTTGCTCCAGTATACCTATAGCTTTAGCATACAATTCAGATGCCTTTTTATAATTCTTATTTTTGTACTCTTCATTGCCTTGTTCTTTTAATTTTGGTATTAGCTCAATTTTCTCCCCTTCCTCCATTTGCCAAGTTTCCTTTTCGTAGGACTCAGGTTGTTCTATATTGGTTATTTCTAAAAATTAATATAGGACTAAGAATATAATATTAACAAAATCAATGTAAACCTAATGTCTCCAATTTTTTTTCTTTTTTTATATAAGTACTGTATTTAAATTACTTAGAAAGAAACTTAAAACAATAACCATATCTGTCGATATTTATATTTATAGTTTTAAAGTATTTATAAAGAATGATCACCCACCTATTATAAACTCCAAATCAGTAGGATTCTTAAGAAAACTGTTCAGGTCGTCGTAGCCAATTCCTGTAGTTTGAAGGGTCATAGCACACACATGGTGATTTCTTTCACCATGAGGTTTATTAATATCTCTAAGTGTTTTAGAAACGAAAGGATATTGAATCACAAGCTAAAAAATATAACTATGATAATATAATAAATCTTGTGAAATTAAAAAATCAAAAAGTGAAGTTATAACAATACATTTTTTGAAGATAATATTACCAGATATCTTCACTGGAAATACCACTTATTTCTTAATATTTATAACTGAATGGATTGTTGATATTTCCTCTTAATTTATTGTTTATAATGGTTACAGGTTACAGTTTCCGAAGTGGAAATAACGCCAATAAACGTACTTTAACCTTTAATTGTGGCGTATTCCCATTTAAATAGTAATCACTTTAAAATGCCACAAGAAAATAGCTTCAGAACAATATATTGTTTTGAAAATCGGAAAAAATGCCTGGATCTGGTGGTCATTTAAATGGCAGTAGAAGTAAGGGGGCGCATTAAAATAAGCATAATATGAAAAGAAAATGGAAAGTATAGGTACTGCAGACAACAATTCTGAATTTCTCAGTTCCTAAGCAAAATTGGAGATAAAAATAAAAATAGCAACGAGTTGATCGGAAAATATCGACAAATCTCGTCTTGCTCAAGCCAATAGAAGGAACAGAGGGATATCAAAAGAAGATCTCATTTACAGCTGTTACTGGATAGTTAGTGCACCCAATATGCACCAGGAATCGCTGATTGGAGGTAAAAAAATATGACTATTTTATTCTATCAGTACCTAAACCAATTTTTTTATACTTTATATATGCGACTACTAAATAAACTAATTACTATTTAACTGGGAATAAGCCAAAATTAAAGATAAAAATACGTTTATTGACGTTTCAATTTCCACTTCGGAAATCGTTCTCAAAATACAAACAGTAAATTTAACAAATTTTGTTTTTTGTTACATAGTGAAAAATTCTTCTAATAATTTAATTTTATCTGACTCATTTATATTGACAATTCAGACATACATTATGCATTTTAAAGTAGACGACTTTAAAATGATATTGCCAATATTGTTGAGTTGCGCTCCTGGGACGACTTTACTTATAAGATAGTTCATTTGATTACATGAAATCAACTTTAACTTGAGAATATCCGTCAGAAAAAAATCATAGCATGTAATTCGTCTTTAAAAAGACAAACACATGACATGATGACAGTAAAATTCTCCTGTTAGTGATTCCATAGTAAATTATGAGGGAAAACCAGGAAAAAAACCTCATAATACTATCCCGACATTGTAAGTATTTGTTCGTGAATTTAGTTTACCTTCAACAAACATCAAAATTCTGATTTTATATGTTACGTTATTTAAAAAACATAAATGATGTATCCTCTATATGTTACTGACTTACTAATACTGCTATTTTCTTACTAATAACTTCCTCTTTCAATATTGGTAACCAGATCCTACTACATTCTGCCGAGGAATTTGCGACACAATTGGCCTCATTTAGCATAATTAGAGCCGCTTCTTTGATTTTTCTTTTTTTACCATCCGTTTCTTTTAGGACTACATTTGAATTATTCCATTGAACCCTATGTTCATTATCCCATGCGTGTTTACATATTTGAGATCTATCAAATTTTCTATTCTTAATATAAGATTGATGTTCACTTATTCTAACATTTAATGTCCTTGATGATTCACCTAAATAAAACTGATCGCATTCACAAGGTATTTTATAAATGCAATTCTTTGTCCTTTCTTGTTTATTGTTAGGTTTGGTTTTGGACAAAATAGATCTCAACATGTTTGTTGTTTTGAATGTTGTTGAAATGTTGAATTTATTTCCTATCCTTTTAAGTTTTTCTGATAATCCTTTTATGTACGGTATTGTTATTTTCCTCATATAATTCCTTGTGTATGCTGTAGGATCTCGTTCTAAGTTGTTCTGTTCTATTCGATCGATTGTTGATATTGATTGTTACAATGCCACAAGAAAATAGCTTCAGAACAATACTAAATAAACCTCTAAAAGTTAAAATAAACCTCTCCACCTTTTTAGTATAAGGGTAAATTCACCCCCAAATACGGGTATTCTTTAAACTTAGGGTAACTTTTTAAAGATTTATTTATTAGTACACGAATTGAATCTCGTTGGAATTAAAAAAAAATTGTTACAGGAAGGCAGAAAAGTGTCTCCCAAATTAAAATGTATCTTTTGGAAGATGCTCTCTGCAGTAATGAAAAACAAATAAGTGTAAAAAAATGTATACCTCAAAACCTCCTTAACAACGAATAGAAAAAATTATAACCATAAATATATCAATTTTTTTGTTTAATATTTAAAAATTATTAAACTTTAAATATTTTCTTTGTTAGACTAAAAATTATGAAAGTCTTTTATGATTGCAACTCAAGTATATTTCAAACATTTCTTTCCCAGATGTTATCCCACATCCTGTTTTTATTCAACATTTATGTTTATAATCACAACTATATTTATTTTTCCTGTGGTCACTTAATTTTGTTGACCTATCTTAGGTTAAACTTGGATATTTGATAAATATATTAATTCTATTGAATTTATTTATCGAAAAATATTTGTTGTTAAGTTGGAAATGTATTAAGTTTTATGTCATACTAGTTTATTATTGTGTTTTTATTGCTTACAAGACCACTACAATTACCAACTACGTAATAGTGTACTTTATGTCGGCGCGGAGATAAAGTGTATTAGAAACATCTTTATTTCACACCATTTCAAAACATCATTTAGAATTCACATAAAACTGCAATTCTGAAAGGATCCGGTGATATATAGATTATCCGTGCAAACATTGACTCATGTTTCATAGCTTGGGTGTCAAGTTTCTGTAAGAAAACGCTGGATCTAGAAGGTATGCCTGCTAGAATTCTTGAAACCTCATTCTTTGAAGATATGCTGTGTAAATATCTTTCAGCAACCGACATACTAGCTCCAGCTTCTGCCAGAAGAGTTGCCGAAGTCCGACGCAGGCCTGTGTACTTCTCAGGACTGCTCAAACCCAAAATATTTTGCAATAGCGGACGGGATTTTTCCAAATGACATCCAGAGAGGTATAACCTTCTACACCTCATAATATAATACAGGCTATGATCGACGGAAGGAGATGCCCAGGCCGACGAAGAACATCCTGGCTACGAAATCTCCGAGAATGGTATCAAGAAACCACCGTTAATTTATTTAGAGCCGCCGTGAACAAGGTTATTATTGCCAATATGATCGCCAACGTTCGATAATCGGACAGGGCACTGAAAGAAGAAGAAGTTCTTTCCAACTGGCTGTACAGTACAACGACCTTGTCTGTAGGTAACAAAAAACCTTTTTTCTGAAGAACCTGGGGGGTCGTAAAGACATGTAATCCCGTACTAACTTTAAACTCTTCAGTTCATATTCGTCAATAATTGTACAAACACGCTGTTTATCAGTTTTTACATACAGTTGGTACGTTTACGACGAAAACTGATTTTCTATCTTCTACGTGAGTAACCAACATATTCACAAGTTCTTGTCGTCGACATGCACCAAATATTAATGCTACTTTAATTTTAAAACATTTTCTCTAGACAAGACTCTAGACTTTTTTGGCATGTAACCTTTCGAGCCTTGCTTCAAATATTCGGTCAATTTATGGTAATTGGCAATCGTAATATTCTTATTTACGATTAAAGTCTTCTTTACCATTGAATATTTGGACCACAGGGAACTCTGAGAAAATGTTTCGGCTAGATCGGCAAAGTATACAAGTAGCACAGTTTCACTAATATGTTCTACATGGTTTTCTGTCATCTAGTGCTGTAATTTTACATATTCCTCTCTCCTAGGCATCTCTCGACTAATGTGGTAGTTATATTAAAAAAAAAGGTATAAGTATTAGAAAGAGAAGTTAACATCATCCTATTTGTGTAAAACCGGCTGCGATTTTTGGAGGTTATCAAATGTCACAGGTTATTAAAAATATAAATCATTGGCGTTGAGCATTAATTAGACAAAACCATTTATTCAACAATTATATAAAGAATAATTTTAATGACTGTTACAAATAGAATTTAGTATCTGGTGATAGAACCGTCTGCTTCTATAACTTTATTTAGTCTATTTGGCATACTTTGAATTATATTAGATATCATATTTGGATCAAGATCTTCCCAGCACTCTAAGATTGTATCCCACAATTGATCTGAATTTTGTGGCATAAAATTTCTTTTATATATATTTTTTAACAATTATGCCCCAAATGTTTTCAATTGGATTTATATCTGGACTGTGCGCAGGACATGGCAATACTTCTAGGTTTTGCGTTTGAAACCAATTCCTTACGGCATGGGCAGTGTGGACTGAACAATTATCTTGTTGATATATAAAAGTATTATTAGGATACAATTGCTCAATAGAAGGGAGCATTACGTGTTCCAAAACGTTAATTTAATTGTCTGCAGTAAATCTTCCCTCTAATCGCCAACAAACACCAGGTCCATGTATACTAATCCAACCCCATATATTTACAGAAAAACGTCCAGATTTATTATGAGAGTGAATATATCGATCTTCAAACATAGTATTGGCTGGACGATAAACACGGATTTGACCGTTATAGGTCGACTGAAAAGTCTTTTCATCAGTAAAAATGATGTTGTTTCAAAATTGTGGGTTGCGGTAAATATAGTTTAGTGCAAATATTACTCTTGCTTGCCGATGTTCAACAGTTACTAATGGTTTTTTAGCAGCTGGTCGGTTTTTTAATTCAGATTCATTGATCCTTCTGCTTACAGTAGGTTGGGCACCAGGAAATCCCGTATTAATCCTGGAATCCTTTGACGTCACAAATGGATTATCTCTTAAGAATTGAACTAAAGCGGCATCTTGTTGAGGAGTGGATACTTTGGAATGCCCTGAACAAACTTTTCTTTTTAATGATTGTTGTTGGACCCATCGTAGCTTAATTCTGAAGATTGTTTTCAAATTTCTATTATAGAAATTTGCTAGCGCACGAATTGACCATCCTTCTTCCATTTTCGTAATTATTTGAGCCTTTTCAATCTCACTTAAATGACGAGGCATATTAATTTTTTATTGTACCTACGTAACGTTAAACCTCATCATCATCATATAACGGGGGTCCTACGGCGATTGCCGCTTCCCGCATTTCAGCCTCCATCTTTTCCTATCTCTCCAATCTCCCTCTTCTAAGCCTCTAGATTTCATTGTTTTTGTAATTTCTCTTCTCCAGGAATTTGGTGGTCTTCCCCTTTTCTTTCTTTCTGGCGGAACATACATTAAGGCTTTCTTTGGCCACCGCTCCTCCTCCATCCATGGTCACTCATCACGTGACCATACCATTGTAATTGCCTTCCTTGTATTCTATACGTATACCTTATAGAGTATACCTATATACCTAATATAGTATACCTATATTAAACCTTCTATCAAATTAAACGTCTGTGACGTCTATGAGTTGCATTTTTGATCACTTATGACATTTGATAACCTCCAAAAATCCCAGCCGGTTTTACACAAATAGGATGACATTAACTTCCCTTTTTAATACTTGTACCCTTTTTTTAATATAACTGTAGTAAGTTTTGCGTTGCTTTTTCCGCTTTTTAAAATTTGGTTAGGAATCTGAAAAATATCTTGAATTTTCACGGCTTTAGTTTGACACGTTTGGCCATGACCATCAGGCAGTGGCGAAGGAAAGTATTCGACACGGCAGCATGGAAGAACATTGTTAAGCAGGCCAAGACTCACAAAGGGTTGTAGCGCCCTTAGAAGAAGAAGTACGTTTGACAGCATTTCTGTAGCGTAACAACATAACACGGACGATAGAATGCCTACTATTAAATATATTGTCAAAATGAAATCAAATTTTCGGATTTTTTAGAACATATTTATTTGTAGATGCAATAACGAACTAGTATGACATAAAAGTGTGTATGCACTTACAAACTCTCGGGCCAGAGACTCTCAGGATTGTAACATTGTCGCCCTCTGGGCATAAACAACTATTTAATACCCTTGGTACATAAATAACTATTAATATGTTAATGGTATCACCATATGTTCAGAGCTTAGAGAAAATTAAATTAAACATCATTGAGACATAAAGATTCCTTTTCACCATTGGTTGCTAGTCAAGAAGGGGTATGGGATGCCACTTTTCCCATAAAAATATTACTTGTATTTCATATATTTATTTTAAGTGTGCAAGCATGCGATGACCATGGAAATCGATATGCAGTAACTATGATCTTTTTGAAGCATATTGCTCTACAGACCCAGAGCTAAAGTGATTATATGGGCATTCAGAAAGTAGCATAAAACTTATCTTTTGATTGGATAAGTATTATAACTAGATGCATACTACACAATTGTTTTGTGTTGATAAAGTTGAAGTCTTAAGAAATGAAAGCGGAGAGTCTATTGTTTGAGTTTGGTGGACAAGGTAAACATGTAAAAAATGAATGACCTATGTATTAATTTAAGACAATTGCAACCAGGTTATAAAAATCGAGTAGAGTTTATGCTGAAGTTTGACTTAAGTGTATGCTTCAGATATGTAGGAAACAAATAAGTGAAATAAAACAGTCTTCATTTCTTGCACTAATGGCAGATGATACAACAGATGTTGTATCTGTTGATCTGTTATGTATGCACCATCATAAGTCTATGCTAATAAATTATTGCAAAATGTGATGTCAAACAATCCTAATGGTAATATTGTATGGTAGCATAGCCGGTTTATCCACATTTTTTTCAATTTTCTAAACAGAAAACAGTGTTAATATAATGAACAAATGAATTAAAAAGCTATCCCAAGCATGATGGAGATTTCAGTATAAAGTGATACCCACCATATTTGAAAATCTAGACAACATGGAGATACAGTTCAAGCCACATGTTTCATCAAATTGTTTAATGATCTTACTGATCAATACTTACTGATCCTACTAATTCGAGTTTTTTTTAATAATACTACATTTTGACACAGTATTTAACCAACTAAAGAATATTGAAACAACATTGCAATATGCTACTGACAGTTTTGAAAAAATAGCCATTAACATCAGAAACAGCCTACCTATGTCACTGAAACTATGCAAGAATCAAGGAGACCAAAGAGACCACTACAAAATGAGGAGAGTTTGAATTTATCTGCAAGAGAACTTATAACAGTACTATGTTTCAAATCATTTTGTTTTTAAAAATTATCTGTCTAGAGCACACATTCCAAAGAGAAAATGATGAACATTATAGAAAGGAACCACTTTTAGCAAACATTGAAATCTTCTGCAGTGCATTTGCAATTGTTGAAAGATATGCCCTGAAATTGGAATTGACAATATTTTACCCTTGGACAGGTATAATATAAAAAATGTAATCAGTTGTTTATATAATTTAAATTTAATAGTGTCATATGGTTTAGGTTCAATACTTTGTGAAATAAGTAAAGTACTGATTACTTTAATAACAATGTAAACTACAACTGTAGAGGCAGAAAAATGTTTCTCAAATTCATCAAAATGTTTCTAAGGAATACAATGTCAGCAAAAAGACTCAGGGCACTTGCCATGCTCATTGAAAAGCTCTAATTGGTGTTAGATTTCAATGAAAATTTGATGGAAAGGTTCATCTCTGATAAAAATAGAAGGATTAATTTTTATTTTAAGAAGTAGGCTTTTTGGAAAGTACCTATTTCTTTTTTTGTGTTCTTGAATTAGCAACCCTTGTAAAATTATCACCAGAAGCTACTTATTCACCCAAATGAATTATGGTTAGTACTCTTATTGACAAAATATTGAAGTTCATAACATCAATATAAATATAGAGTTATCTGATACTTTTAGATCAAATATAGTTGTTTTTAAGAGGTTCTTATGAAAATTTTATGTGTTTATACCATAATAAAATACAATCTCATATATTTTCTTTTCCACATGTTTTTTTATTTTTTATTTTGATCATATTTATTACTAGACATTAAAATAATGGATCTCCCTGTACTTAAATGTAAATTTCAATAAAATGTTAATTTTAGTTGTTAAAAATATAAGATACAACATCTTAGAAAATGCCTTTTGGGATAACCCAGAAGTGTAATAATTTCAAAAATGTTTTATAAAAATTTATCAAAATTCATAAATTTAATACTTTAGATAGATAATTCATCTAACATTACTAACTAGGTCTTATATTCCAGTAGATTGTAAATATATACATAAAACGAAAATATTAATTTGATCAAAAATTTATATAAATAATAATTCTTACACTTTTATCCACAGTAAATTTTGCAACTTCATTTAGGGCCATTTTTTGTACTATAGCTTCCCATACTTCCAGCTTAAACTTTTTCCCCAGCACCAGCTCAAAGGGCTTTCCAGTTCCCAATTTTCTGGAGTCATCTAGTAAAGTTTTCTCATTGTTACACTGTCGTGTTTGGAAATGAAAATGGATCTACAAAAATTGGGTGATTATTAGAAACATAGCGAAAGTAAATTTACACATTTGTTTAAACATTTTTTAAATCTATAGATCAGACTAGATAGTGCAAAGAAAAGGATAGCTACTGTATTTTACTGTTTTCTAGCCCCTGCAATAATCCCCTCAAAGATCACTAAGAGAGGAGGCACTCTGTGAGCATTGCTGTATTTAATATTATTTATGTACTACAATATTTCTACTACTAGGAGCTAATTATGAAAATCAAGGTGATCTGATGAGGTTGGGTGGATTGGTTTAGGAGATTAATTAGTACATATGAGTTTATGTCAAATATACAAAAAACAGTGAAAAGAGGAATATATATAAAAAAATAAATTTCAAGAAAAGAATCGAAAGAAGGGGGTATAAGGAGAATGTGGCAAAACAATAAAAATCAACAAATTAATACAAAAAGGTCATGGAATTATCAAGCTAAGAGAATAGCAAATAAATACAAAATTATGAAAAAAACGAAAAAAACGAACAGCAAACGAATGAAACGTTTTTGGTAAATCAAACAGGCATCTTACGTACATAATAAAAGAAAAATAACACTATTTACTAAACAGAATGTAAAAGGCAATAAACTTACCTTTGTACCATCTTTAAAAGGAACCGATTTCGTTCCTGCATATATTGTTTCTTTTACTATAAGATCTTTTTCGGTTGCCATGAGAATTCCTTGTTACAAACTTTGCTACTTTAGCTGCTAATATATGGTATAATATAACATACACCTGAATACCCTACATTTGATTTATTTTATTGATAATTACAATTTTACTTTACATCAAAACAAACTTGACAGGTTTCTTCATTTGTCATCTGACTGTCATCTGGCATTTGACGTTTGACGACTTGACTTGACATACAATTTAAATAAAACACAAAAATCTTATTTACATAAAACACAAAATCATAGCAAATATTGTAATAATTATACATTGTATTTTTATATTTTACTTTTTAATATATGTACAGTTATAATAAAATCTTAAAATCCTGCATGTACTGAAAAATTCATGGTAAAAAATTTTAAAAAATGACCCTTATTGACGTGACATGTGACTTCTTGTGTTGACACTGACACTAATGACGCTGTCACTGACGAATAGACCAATAGACGTAGACAAATAAAAATATTAGAAATTGATCAGAATAATGTTTTAATAATTAATAACAGTTTATAAAAAGGTAAAACTTGTAGACGTCAGTAAAACACATCAGAAAAATGTCGCAAACAGTGTCCTTAATTCTGAACGAAGATGTTGAACATGGTGGAAAAGAATATGACGAAGACGATATTGAAAATGATTTTGCCTACAGAAACAATGTATTGAATGCTACAAAATTAATAAGGTTAGCTTTTATTCGCAAAGTTTATGGCCTATTATCAATGCAAATATTACTAACCTTTATTATAGCCAGCATCTGTTTGTTTACACCACCTATAAAAAACTTTGTTCATACAAATGACTGGATGATGATGATTTCTTTTATTGCTAGCATTGTGCTGTTAGTACCACTACACATTAAAAGGAAGGAGTCTCCTACCAACTTTATTCTTCTAGTAGCCTTTACAGTCGTTCAAGCTTACACAATTGGAGTTATAGTGACATTCTATTCAAAAGCAGTAGTGTTACAAGCATTATTATTAACCCTTGTTGTATTGGTTGCATTAACTTTATTCACATTCCAAACTAAGCGTGATTTCTCTGCCACACATTCTGCATTATTCGCTGGACTCTGCATTCTCATTGTAGGAGGATTTATGCAGATATTCATTCAATCTTCAATACTGGAACTTGGTATTGGACTTGGGGGAGCATTTTTATTCTGCCTTTTCATTGTAGTGGATACTCAAATGATAATGAAGACTTTATCACCAGAAGAATACATTTTAGCTACAATAAACTTGTACATGGATATAATCAATTTATTTGTTTATATTCTACGCATTTTACAGGAGTTAAATAGGCAATAATGCACTTATTTTTATGTAGCAATGAATAAATTACATTATCCATTTTTTAGTATTAAATTATTTGTAAATATTCTTGGTTATTACAGTATTTTATTGAAGGTTACTTAAAATAAAATGTAAAATGGGTAAGTTCATTTTTCATTCATTACTTCTCACCTAGTTTTCCCTAATTGTATATATGTATACATATTTTTTTGAACTGAAATGTAACTTATAAGCGATAGAAATTAGGACTGTAAAATATACATATAGAGAGCTTAGGATACTTTTATAGTGAATGGTAATAAATATCCAGAATACCTCAATAGAAGCCTTTTTAATCAATCTGCCATATCAGTAATGATGCCAAATATGAACAATGGTAAAATAATACAGTGGAACCTCGATTATACGTCTCTCTATTAACCGTCACCTCTGTTAACCGTCAGGGTCCATACATAATTTATATTGACAACATAAGTAAAAATTTAGTCTTTAATTCATTTTGTTTGCAAAAAATTTTCCACCAAAGATGATTCTCATTTTGGACAATGCACCTTCCCATCATAAAGCCGGTATGTTTCGGAGTGACAATAAAAGATACAGAAAAGAAATTATTCAAAACCTAGTTATGGAAGAGTAATATTCTTTGCCACAATACTGGAAAGCATACAATTTAAAACACGCAGTCGAAAATTCTGTGAATGCTTGGGCTGATGTTTCGGAAGTAACGCTGAAAAGAGCGTGGAATAAATTATGGCCTAAATCAACCCCCTTGATCAAAATGCTTTCCTTAAATGAAGTTATGGCTGAATCAACTGTTTTGTTTTCATTGCCTTAAGGCTGTATGACACTATGCATTTTCTTGTATCATTTCGTATATCGTTTCTGATATAACAAAAAAATGGATAGTGTCATACAAGCGTACAGTTTCTTATATCAGAAACGATACAAGTATTTGTGTCTGCTGCATTTTCTTGTACAAGAAATGCGCCAATTTGTGCGCAAAGCCGCAAAAACGTAAAACTTATGTCATATTGGCGGCAGGAGGAGAAATTTGATATACAATTAGACCAAGCAGACATCAGAGAAAAGTGCCCACCAACAATAACCATGATTAGAACATCAGAGGCCAAATTGAAAAACAATAAATCACAGGGATTGGATCAAATAGCATCGGAACTACTGAAAGTAGGAGGAGATGTTTTACTAAAAACAATACATAATCGCTCTAAAAATTCGTGATTAGTTTAAAGATTATTTTATATATCCAAATAAGAGCGTAGAATTTCAAGAGCATGCCATTCAAACACATAATTAAAAAAAAAACAAATAAATTATTACAACCAAATTATTTATTATTTCTGTCTTCCATTACAGCCTGTTGAATAGCTTCAAAAATTGTGGTTTCCAATTTAGTTTTAATATTGGGACATTTTATTTATTTCATTTCTGCACCACAGTATTTTATAAAATAAACAGTAGCATATGTCCTCAGTCCCCATTAGCTTGGGGTCCGCAGGTACTGCAGTTCTATTTTTATAGGTGTCAAAATTTCGACCAATCATGTGCCAAATCACATAGAACAAAAGAACTTGCATAGTGTCATACAGGGCAAAAATGTACGTGCAAGAAATGAAACAAGAAAACATAAATAACTTTTTATTTCAGAAACGATATAAGAAATGATACAAGAAAATGCATAGTGTCATACGGCCTTAAAGATGACATAAACGAATGGTTAATTTGTGATGTGTAACAGAGGCGAACGAAACTGATTCAGCAGCTGACAAAGACTTTGATGGTGGCGATGTTGATGATTTTACAACAACTCTCAAAGATTTGCGTAAAGAAGCTGGATTTGATGATTTTATGTTGATTAGGAAATTCAGCCTTTGCAAAATGTGAAGTAACAATAAAACAAACAAAGATTTCGGAATAATATAAATCCAATTGATTCGACTGTACTAACATAAATCCCTCTTATATTGTCAAATAAAACATACAAATAAAATTTGAGAGTTATACTATGATTTTTTTTATTGTTCTGTTAACCGTCTTTTCGATTATCCGTCATACCCTTGGTCCGGTGCCCTGACGAATAATCGAGGTTCCACTGTATCAAAAAATTAACAAAGACCCACCTAATGTCATAAAATGACAAATATTAGAGAAAAACATCATCATCACGTAAAGCTACAACTCTGGGTGGGTCTTGGCTGACTGTACAACTTTTTTCCAATTTGTTCAGTCTTCCATTAACCTAGGGTCAAATGGAATGTCCATTTTCCGGAGATCTGCTTGGATGTTAGTCTCTCGTTATGCAGTCTGTGCAAGTGGCCTGTCCATCTTAGTCGCTGTGATTTAATTTCTTGGACAATATCGGCATCATGGTAGAGTGCTTTTAATTCAATATTGGTTCTGATCTTAAACTGGTTTGTGGTGAGGTCCGAAAAAAATTTTCGTTCAAAGCGTGTGAGTTTTTCATCATTTTCTTTGGTCATGCTCCACATTTCGCGTCTGTATGTTATTACAATGTATTTACATTGTGTCTGACAATGGATTTATAGATTTTGATCTTTGAACTTCTTGTAAAATTTTTTGATTTTATGAGCTTATCTGGACAGATTTGCCTCTGTCTTTTATTTCTTCAGTAACATCATTGTCAGCTGTGATTATGGCCTCCAGATACTTAAAACGTTGTACTCTTTCGGAATTGAAGGTGTTGGCCGTCACATTTTGTCCTATTCTGTCTCTTTGTGTCATTCTATTTATACACATATATTTTGTTTTCTTTTAATTAATCTTCAGTCCTACTGCACTTGTTTCTCCTTCCACCTTAATGAAGATGTCTTTCGTGGATAGGATGGAGTCTCCAATGAGATCTATGTCATCTGCATATGCGAGTAACAGCTTGGGATCTTGAACCGATAGCAATTCTGTTTTCGAGTCATCCTGTTTGAGTCCACTGTTGATTTCAAAGCTGCTAGACAGTTTATTATTTACACGTAATTTAGATATTCCACCCTCCACACAGAGTTTGGTCATCTGAATGAGTACTACCTCATCCTAACTAATGAAATGTGTTTTGTCCTTAGTCATAATTTTCTACTAGTCCATTTACTCACAATTTGTCCTCCCAATTCTAAATAACAGCATTAATTGATATGAAATTTGACAAATACATAGAAAATAAGTCAAAGAACAAAAGTTGTAGAGTGCCGATATTTGCTTTTACTTTGGGGAGAATGCCATCCCTTCTTAATAATCCCGGAGTCGACCTGGGGCCTGGAGATATTGTCAAAATAATCTCGGAAATTGATGGGTACCAGTTACGATACCATAGAGCACCTTGCACAAGTGAAGCGTTGATGTGCAAAACAAAAAGAAAAAGTAGCAATGTCACAACCTCAGTTATTCAAATCCTACAATTTATCAATGAGGAGAGTGGACTTATTCGATCAAACGATAAATAATTACAGGATCGGCATACATGTAAAAAATTGCCGTGGATACTCTTTTACCCATATGAGAAATGTGACAGTTGTTAATGCGTGGAAACTAAGTAGGATTACACCCCAAATTAATAAAAAAAAACATAAAAGAATTAAGAGAAAATAGAACAAAAAACAAAAAAATAAATACAAAAAAAACAAAACAAGAAAATAATAAAAGAATAAAAAAATGACAAAATAGATTTGCTACTATCAGAGAACATACGTGAGTTCGTAGTTCTCTGTTAAATATTTTTAAAAAATATTTAAATATATTTAAATATTTTAAAACACTCTGTTCAGTGCAAAGAGTCGTTTTGCATATTTCAAAGAAATAATTACTGCAGAGCTTTCAACAAAGCCATACAAAGACGATCCACATCTTTGTTGAAAGAACCACGAACCCTCGAAGATGTTGCCACAATGCCAAATGAGAGTTTGATGGATGTGTGAAATATGCAAAACGACTCTTTGCACTGAACAGAGTGTTTTAAAATATTTCACTCATAATAATTTATGTGTTTTAAGTATATGTAGGTATGCAATTTTAATAAATGTTTCCTTGGTCTGTATGCATTTTTATGTTCATTATCTCTACTGGTTATATATAATTATATTTTATATATTTTATACTGATTGTTCCAGCAGTGTACCTGCTTGGGCACACCATTTTTTTCAAAAACCAAATTTAAAAAATGTGCAAAATATTTTTTTATATAATTATGATCGTCATTAAAAGCAACTCCTAGAGGATTTAGGCATTTTTAGTTTCTGTTTGGGCGGTGGGCATTAATGGGTTAATCAAGATTCATAGAGATCCAATGTATTGGATACAAAAAACTATTAAAATCAATATTTTTTATGTTTATAATTTCCTTTTCCTACCAGATACCTATTCCATCTACAGGTCTATTTCAAAAGCGACTTTGACTTAAAATTGACAGAAGTGACAGTGACATTTTCTCGACAAATGAGAAATGAATCATACCAAAATAAAGATTTTGTAAACAGTAATAATATCCCTCACATTATTTCAACATGGAACTGTTTCGTACAAATGATTTCTATATATTTATTAAGGGTGAATACTCTTTATGGTGGGACCGACAAACAGGTGCTTTCATTCCGAAAACAGGTTTGTTGAATTTTCATTCACTTTGCATTATTTAAAAATTTATTTCTTAAATGTGACGCCCCCGGATTCATTTCAATTTGTGAAATTAACTTTGATTAAGGTTTTACGGTTTATTTATTAAACAATTGTGGTTAATACGCAATTCATTAATATACAATCTCTGTTAAAAAGGGACCAATTGTTAATCACATCTACTTGCCATGTAACATTTAATTAATAATTATACACACAATTAATATTAATGTATTCCTTGATCTTAAGACTTTTGCTCTCAAGTATATTTCAAGTATTATGTTTAATTTCTGCAAGTTTTTTTTATTGATTTCTTTTACTAATTCACATTGTATTACAATTATAGTTATCTTGATATGTAGTTAATATTATTGTAGTAAAACCTACACTACTTTATGTAGAATTTCTGTGCTTATATTGCCTCTGTCATATTAGTGTAATTGATAAAATCTAGATCTTTACTCAAAAAACAATGTCTTAGTCATGTGAAGTGACTAGAAATTATAAAGTAACTACTACTTAAATAATAAAATAGCTTCCACAAGAAAATGAAGATGTGGGAAAATTTTGTAATTATGTCAATGGTTATCATCATGTTCTCCTTTATTCTTCTGTTTAGCATAAGGCAAGAGTAATAGAAAATTGATTGATCAGAAAATTATCTGAATTTAGACAGGAAAGACATACAATTTCTTTAGACAAAAATGACAATTTTAGCAAATTTCAATTTTTTTTTATGTAAATATTTGTATCTACAGGTTTTATTACTTTCACCCTTTCCCTCATGCATTTTTGTTTTTTAAGATAAATATTTGAAATTTGGTAGGCATATTCTTTTATTTTTTTTTTAAATCTTTGGCCTACTCGAAATAATTCCCTGTTACCCCTTTTAAGGGATGTGAATTGTACAGTATATTGAACATTGTGAACAAACAGTGTGTATACAACCTGTACAATATATTGCACATTGTGAGTAAATTGTAAAGTAAATTATAAAGTGTAAATTGTAGTAAGTAGTAATGGTGTAAATTGTAAAGTGTAAATTGTAGAGTAAATTGTAGCTCTATATTGCACTTTTTACACAAGAAATTGGTTCTAGAACCACATTTAGGGAATTTGCACCTAGAAGGAAAGGATTTGTCATCTATAATTGGCAAATGTCCAAATTCATCCAGCCTTACTTCTGCTGCTGGTTTAGTTTCTGTTTTTTGTTTTTTCTGTCACGGAAATGACATTGATTCTCTTGTATCCGAAGGATGTCCTCATTTTCTGGAGGATACTTTGTCTGATTTTATCAAAACTTCAGCGACATATGCCCTAAAATGAACCAAATCCAATATTTTCTTGTCCAGAATACCTAAAACAATCACCTTTTGCCTGTATTCCAGCCAGGCATTAGAACAGGCGATATCGATACTATATGTAAACATACAAAGTGTCCACTTCCTGGAAGGAATAAAGGTTCTATATAAAGTATTCAAAAAGTCACATTTATCAATGCCGCCCATATGTTGGTTATATTTTCTAATTACTTCAGATTGTTTCACATAAATATATTGTTTCTTATTTTTGTCCCACCATTTACATTCATCTTCTTTTCCTACACCCATAAAATTAGATGCCATGAGAACACTTTTATTGTCAAACCACTGAGTGAGAACAACTTCTTCATCACCACTTACATATTGTACAGAAAATCCACGACTTTCCTTTGAAATCTCCTTTTCAAGCAGCAAAGGCGGTTTGCTAAACCTATCTCCTCTTGCTGTACAAGTAGCATAAATATTTTTATGCAGCAACAATTGCAATAAATTATAATTGGAAAAGTAGTTATTGAAAAAAAGTTGAACATTTGGTACTGCAATTCTTTCAGATAATTTCAAAACTGCTGACGCTGCTAATCCAAAAACTTTGTTAAAAAAACTTCAATATAAATAAGATTTCATGTGACAGTTAGAACAAACAATAACATAACCCAACTAAATTTGATTTCTTAAACAAGAAAAGAGACTCTCTTTAATGTGGCCTCTCAAAATGGCACTTCCTGTCTAACAATATTTTTGCTCCCACTAATTTACATTCCCTCTTCTGTCTTTTTGCTCGAAGGAATATATACACAGTTTTGGTCTACAATGAGCTATCACTTTCACTATTCACAAGGAATATGCCCACAAAAACCAGTTCACTTGGGCGAGCAGAAAAATAAAATAGACCTTTTAAAATAATAGATTACTGTAATTTTATGTTTTGTTTATATTTATTGTGTTATCAAAAAGTAATTTTTTTTACTCTGATTAGTTTGTTGATCCAGAAAATGTTTATATTTACAGGCCGGTACTTATTGCAAGACAAACATTATAAAAGTGACAACTTATTATGTCTAAGTACTTTCTACTAATAACTAATATTTTTTAATATTTTGATAACTGTTATAGAAATTTTTTTATAGTGTCATTTTAGTCATTGTAATATTTTCTTTTATCTGATCTTTATCACTATATTTTTTTTCAGGATGGGATTTAACTGATGCAGATGACCCACTATGTCTGGGTATATGTGATGGAATAATAGGAAAAGTGGAACACAGTCCACTCTTTGACACCAGACTGCTGCTAATTAAAGAAAGTCTTCCAGTAGGCAAACTCCATGGCGAAAATATGGTCTACAAAATAAAAAGTGTTATATTTCTACCTCTAGGTCCAGAAAATGTTGACCTCAATTTAACACCATGCCCTAAGCACAAAATAATGGAATTGAAACAAAACCCCAACCATTCTTTGTTATTTGATATACAGAAGAATAGTGCTTTTACCAAAACATGGGGTACTTTGAAGAGTGCTGGAAACACTTTGAAGTATACTACTCAGCAAGCTGCCATGGCAGCTGCCGGCGTGCAGAAAAAGAACAATTTCAAAGACAAAGAAAGATTTGAAAAACAAATTGTTGAAGAATTTTATAAAATATTTAATGATACAAATTCTTTCTATTATTCGCATACTACAGACATCACAAATTCTTTGCAGAGATTGTGCAATTTATCCAAACAGGGTACAGATTCTCAATCTATATGGAAAAATGTAGATGAGAGGTTTTTTTGGAATGGCTACATGCTGAAAAGCATCATAGAACTGGAGGTAATCCTATATATTTGTTGTATTTGATTTTCATATCATCTTTGGGATAATTACCTAAGTTTTTTATAGAATTTCCATCATTTGGTTAAATATTTCTGATAGATGCTTATATCAATCTACCCCAATATGATTGTGATATTTTTTTCAAAATACCCAATGTATTGGATTGAGATATTATTGGATGTGTTTTGCAATACCATGTACTGTATTGGTATTAAAGAGAAATTTAATATTTTTTGTGGTATTAAATATTTTCTTTATTTACCACATTCTTTGTTGACTACTTTATAAAACTGCAAAAACATTTGTAACCATTTCATGTTTTTTAGAACCCTTTGTGTGATCCATGGATACTACCCATTATTCAGGGATATATTCAAATTGAGGATTGTAAAGTAGAGATGGATAGAGACTTGATTGAAGCCAAAGAGAAACGATATGATACTTTTACATTATGTCTCATATCTAGAAGAAGTAGATATCGTGCTGGTACAAGGTAATAGTTTGTTAAAGATGAAGTAATATTTATAGTAATTACATATATTATAGTAAAGAATCTGTAACAGCAGTATTTAAAATACATACTATCAAGATTGCCAATGTTTTGAACAACAGTGAAATTTTATGTCATAGGTTTTAAAAATTGATATCAAAAAATGAAAATTTTACTCTAATTAAAAATTAATAGGAAAATCCCAGTAGTTGGCTGTATACCATCGTTTAAAAAAGCATACGGAAGTTAAAACACTTCACAATTGTATTTTGGTATAAAAACATATAGTTAAATCTTTTTAAACAGTGTCGTCAAAGTGTCCGTAGTTAAAAGTGGTAAACTTTTTTTGCATCTTTTTTTAGTGTCCCAAAATTAATAGACATAACAGATAACAATCAGAATACTCTTATTGTGAAATTTGCCGATCATACTAACATTTTAACTATAGAGTCATCCTTGAATAATTTATTGAATATCGCTAATAATAGATTACATAAAGCACAGAGATGGCTCAATATGAATAAACTCATACTGAACAAAGAAAAAACAAATTATATATGTTTTGTCACTAAAACAAATAATAGTACCTTACCAGAAACTGTCTCAATTCAATCGCAAATGGTTACTCTAAACCAAAGCACAAAATTTCTGGGGGTACATATTACCAAAATTTAGATTTTGGAGTGCATATAAATGAGATCTGTAACAGGTTAGCATCTATGTGCTACTCTTTCAGAATAACAGCAAATTATTTGGACGAAAAATGTAAACGAGTTGTATATTTTTCAAATTTTCATTCTGTAATGCGATTTGGAATAGTTTTCTGGGGGGAAGTGGTAACGCTGAACAGGTTTTTATATTACAAAAAAGAGCAATCAGAACTTTACTTAACTTGAGATACAGAGATTCATGTAGAGGTAATTTCAAAAAGCTAAACATACTAACAATGGCTGGAACATACATATATGAATGCTTACTTTTCATTTTTAAAAATAGACATAAATTCTTGAAACACATAACAAACCATAATACTAATACACGAAACAATCTCATAAACTATAATATACCAATACATAGACTAACAGCATCTGAGAAAACCACAGAATATGCCTGTATTAAATTCTTTAATAAACTGCCTTACAGCATCAAAATAGAAACTAACGTAAATAAATATAGAAAGTCTGTTCAACAATTGCTTATACACCTTGAACCATACAAAGTGGAAGAATACCTTCAAGCTGACCTGTAGGCAGACTAAAGGCTCTTACCTGAATCTAAATGTCACTGTTATTATCATTATGTTTTAATATTACTTTTATGTTAAGTGTAGGTTGTTACAGCAACCATTATAAATTGTAACTGACACCATTCTCTCTATTGACAATTTATATTTGTATGTAACTTGTGAATCCTGAGAATAAACCTTTTTTGTATTCTATTCTATTCTAATATTCTCTGCAAAATTCAGCTTGTTCATATGATTTTTAGAGGTCTACTCTCTGATGCCTCGGACTAACAAAATCAATCAATTTTAGGTATAAAAGGCGAGGTGTAGATGATAATGGCGAAGTAGCAAATTATGTAGAAACTGAACAGATTATTTCGTATCAAACGCATGAAGTATCATTCGTCCAGGTGCGAGGATCAGTTCCTGTATATTGGTCCCAACCAGGATATAAGTACAGACCTCCTCCCAGAATTGATAAAGGTATTTAAATTTTAGTATTTCATATTTATTCTGAATTATTAGAGACATGCAATCCTAATTCTCATTTATAAATAATTAGACAAAATTTATTACTTAAAGAAAATCCCTTATTTCTCACAATAAAGAAGAGATCAGAAGAAGTCATTCATATTCTTTGTATCTTTAAAATATACCTTACATTTATTTGTATGACCATATTCTTTTTCCACGATATATGTCAGTCAATGTCTAGTTTTTTGTGTTTAATATTTTAGGTGAAGCTGAAACACAGGTGGCTTTTGAAAAGCATTTTACTAAAGAGATTCATAGTTACGGCCCCATATGTATAGTCAATTTAATTGACCAAATGGGAAAAGAAAGAATAATATTCGATGCTTATTCCAATCATGTGTTTCAGTATAATAGTCCATTTATAACATACGCCACGTTTGATTTTCATGAGTATTGGTAAGTAAAGTTATGTATGATAAATGATTATTTGGTAATCTTTCATCAAGAGGTACGCTCAGAAATGCCTACGATTTCCTATGAAAAAGCAATTTCTGCAAAAACGCAGAACAGTAGTTCGTAGTGAATTTACAAAAATTGCTATTATTTTGAACAGTTTGTTCGCTAAACCAGTAAACACGCCACCCTGGCAGAAAATTAGTGTACAGAGGGAACCTGGGAATTCTTACAAGTAAAGTACAATGAGTGGAGAGTGCAGTACTTGAAAGTATATTCAAAGAAGCTTCTGAAGAGAGTTAATCAGTGAGATGAAGGCAAAGGGTAAATACAGTGCAAGGTACTTTAAACTTAAGGACAAATGTGATGACAGAACAGGTTCAGTAAGTTCAGAGTCATCCATTGTAAAGGTAAGCGCAAATTTCAATTACCTCCAATCGAGTTAAAAAATTATTCAGAGTTTGCAGTCTAGGTTTTTCAGAGAAGATCTCCAGATTAAAGTTTACATTAGAGAGCTCTTAAATTTAATTTTGAGTCGAGTTTCTAGTAGTCCTTGTAATAGTTCTGTTCTTTATGATATGATTGAGAGTCAACTTTGTTCACTTGAGACCTTAAACAAAACTGCTGACAAGTTTGCATATTGTATCCTCTTATTGAGTCATGTTTGCCAGAAGATATGATTCGACTATGGCATCTTATGTTTCCGTGTCCAATGAACATATCGGAGAAACTGCAGAAGTTTCAACTTCAGAAACAAGATTGAGTGGGCTAATGAGCTTTTTACAGAGTGAAGTTCAAAGTGAACAAAAAATTAATTTAGCAACGGAAGTTTTCGTTTACCGGCTGAAAATAAATATAAATTCAATAGCCTTATTGCCAAGAAAAATGTAAAATTACAAAGAACTGATCAGCCCTTAGCGTCTGCTGCTGAGTTAATAAATTATGAGGTTTACAGGTGTATATTTTTATTACAAGTAATTTTTTTGTACTTGAAATTAAATTTTTTAATTTTAAGAAATAAGACTGATATGCACTATTTAAAATGTTGATAAAACTAAAAAAATAACGCTCAAAATCAAAACAACAACTTCAAATGTAAATGAAGTTGTTGAATGTACTCACGATATAAAAATTAAAAAATTATATCGAATGATCCAATCCAAAAATTAGAATTTGTGAAACTTCAAATAGTAGCTAATTTCAACTTACATTGAAGAAGACTGCTGATTGAAAGCGAACTGTACCTTTCTACCGATCGTATATTATATTATAAGTCCCAATACTTAGCCTCGTTGGCAACAGTGTCGGTGTTCAGAGAATTAAATTTCGGGAAAATCAAAATATTAGAATATGATGCACGTGCTGCCATCTACTCAAAAAATTGTTAAACGTTAGTTCATTTTAACTGCTGCGTGAACATACCCCCTTAAATGGAATATACTTCATCATCACAGTCATTAACATCTTAGTAGATGTGTTGTGGTTCATAATTGGGCTTCAGCAGCTCGGACAGTTTGATTGATATTTCTCCACTGGTCGCGGTCATCAGTTATATGTATTTCCTCAGTATACTGTTTATTGAGAAGCTTTTTAGTAATGTCCGCCCATCGCTGTGGAGATCTTCCGCGTTGGCGTTGAGTCTGAGGCCTTCCTTGGACCACCAACCGCTCCATTTTGTGATCACTTCAATGGATATGGCCAAAGAACTTTAAAATTCTAGAGTAAACGGTACTGGAGAGACGTTGATTCGGTTTAATTTCATCCAGAACCGAGATATTTGTACGGCGAGCCGTCCATGGAATTCGAAGCAGGCGTCTCCATGTCCACATTTCAAAGGCGTCTATACGTCGTCGATCTGATTCTTTGACTGTCCATGTCTCGCATGCATAGTAAAATATGGAATATACTTAAAAATATATAAATTTAAAGATTTGTAGAGGTTCTACCCTCTTATTACACTAGTACCAATTATTTTATGAAAGATAAAATTGAACAAGACTTTCAGTTTAGTAATGGAGTAATTACTATTTATTAATTACTCCCAACTTATGATACTACTAAGTCCATGAATGCCTGTTATAGTTAGTAGACAGATGAAAACTTGAGCTCAGTTATATTCTTTAGCTACGTACCATTATCATCAGCACCCTTTTTCGATTCGATTCCTTGACCATTTCGTCTAATATATTTACAGCTTAATTAATTGTCTGCTTTTATAATTTCCGTCTTAACTGGACAAAAAACCACACAGACTTTTTTCGTTTTTCTTTGGTGACCCCTAATTTATATTGTTACCAATTTTTGACTCACTGTCTTTATAAATAAAATTTCATCTTGTATTATTATTGTATTGGTCTTTTTTATTGCAGTAGGGGAATGCATTTTGAGAACGTTTCGATACTTATAAATGCTGTTAGTGATATTCTAAAAGACATGAATTACTGTTGGAGAGATAGCCAAGGACATATTTGCTCACAAAACGGTGTTTTTAGAGTAAACTGTATCGATTGTTTGGATAGGACTAACGTAGTGCAGGTAAATTTTAATTTTATGCAAAACAACAGCAACACACTTCTTAATATTGTTTTAATAGTACAGATTATTGTTTTGTTTTTAGACAGCAATAGGCAAAGCAGTTATGGAAATACAATTCTGTAAGTTAGGATTGATTTCACCAGAAGGAATTATACCAAATAGTATTAAAAATACATTTCAGTTATTATGGGCCAATAATGGCGATACCATCAGCAAACAATACGCTGGAACAAATGCTTTAAAGGTAAAAAAAAGTTTTTTTTTATAGAAATTTCTATAATTATATGCTGGGTATTGATATCTAGTATCTCTTATTTAGTCTAGTTAACAGTGGAGCCTTGGAGTGGAACACAAAATTACGCCTTGTTCGATCATTAATATTTCCTATCGCCACCTATGCTTTAGAAACATGGACAATAAAAAAAGCCGATTCAAAGCGTATAATGGCATCTGAAATGTGGGTCTACCGTAGAATGTTGCGCGTACCATGAACCGCCCATCGCAGAAATAAATCAATTCTAGCAGAACTTAACATAAACTAGACTCATCACAACTATCAACGAAAATATCCTGATATATTTTGGACATATAACTAGAAGAATAGAAGACATGGGCCGAATGATAGTTGAAGGTAACGTAATGGGTAAGAGATCCAGAGGAAGATCTCCACTACGATGGTCGGACCAAATAAAGGAGATGACTGGAAAGGAGAAAATATTGAGGAGGAGGATCTCTTATTTGTGGAACTGTGTCTTCTTTGTCGTCAATTATATGGCTGTGTTCTAGTCCTCCACTTGTAGGTATCTAGTTATCAACCATCGTTCTTTTGTGAACAATGAATGTGTTATAAACACATATTAGTGCATAAAAGAATTCTCCAAACAGTATCAAACGTATGAATGTGAACTGTATATGCTATTTTATGTTTTAGGGAGATTACACAAGGACTGGAGAAAGAAAATTTACCGGTATCATGAAGGATGGAATGAACTCAGCTAACAGGTATGTTTGTATGCATTCTTAAAATAGTTTAACATAAATGATATTAGCATAATCTTTTGGTTAAATTAGATTGCTTAAGATATTTTATTGCAAAAACTACTTGATATTTACGACATACAATATATTTAAAGATAACAAACATATCCGCTGATATAAACCTCATTATGACCTAAATATTTTTCTCTAACTTTCAAATTACTTATCCGCTAGCTTGCCAACAGTAGTTTCTATTTAATTTTTTCCTATAATTGTACGGTTATTTTTGGTTTTTATCAAATTTGGTATTTTTTCTTCCTTTGTACCATTCCTGCTGAATATTTTTTCTAATCTCTTTGACTTTCATTTTTCTTCTAATTCTGTTTTCCCCCTTCCTTCCTTTATCTTAATTTCTTACTTTTCTTTTATTTCTGGCCGTTTTTTCTCTTGCCAAATTAAACTAATTTTTAGTTATCTCATTATATAGTTGTTATGTTAGACAACATCCATAATCAGGTTGAACAAAGATTTTCTCCTTGGCACTTTAAATTTAAAAAGTTCTAGGGCCCTAAATACTAAACTATTTCATTAAGCATACCACAAATAATGGTAAATGGCAGTACTTTCATGGAGTCACAAAGGATATGAATTGTTTACTGTCAAATATATCAGAAGTTTTCTTCGATATGTCTTCGAAATATATAATTTTATATTTTAAGGGGATATTAGACTGGGATGTGATTCTCGAGGAATAAGGGTTTATTTCGTAATAACTTCACTGTAAATAGGTTGCAACGCACAGGTTGAGGTAAATAATGATAAAACACATTACTTGATGCGGTGTAATCCGATTAAAAGAAAACAATAACTACATTATTAAAAAACTACATTATGCAGATACACACAATACATGTTGATTGCAGGATAGACAATATGTCAATGGCGGATGTCGATATGACAGCCGTTGACAGCATCCTACGTCAAAATGGGTGACAGGGTTGCAAAGTATAATTTTTGTACAATAGTATACATTTTACACATAATATAACATTTATTTATATTAACAAATTAACCTCAACCTAAAACCGGACACGTGTATTAAAGTAAATAGACGTGAAGCCACGGTTTTAGTGAAGTCAATCCAAAGGAGATATATAACTGTTTGTATGAGAAAATAAAAATTGTTGCTGTTACTATTTCCTTACAATTTCATATTTTTTATTTCATTTAATTTTATAAGGTTTAAAATATTAAAAGATAAAATTTAATAAATTAAAAAACCAATATTTCTCCCGGGTGGGGAATTAAATCCCGGTCTCCGGGTGACACGTGGGACGCTCACTACACTAACGATTTGACATTTGAATCGTGGTAACTGTTAAACGCGAAATTATTAAGTATAACACCGATAGAGGGAGAATCTAAACAACAATTTCTGACACCAAATGTTTTTTTATTTTACGCGAACTTATCGCTGCCATGATTTTTTAATACATCTATGTAGAAACAAACTATAAATGTTTTTTACACATTTCTATTTCTTGTTTGGTATAGAATAAATAAAACTTTGATTTCGCTCAATTTATTATTGTAGATATTACAAAAACCACTTCAAAGATACCCTACGTCAGTATTGCTTAGATATTATGCAAGGGGTAAAGTTGTACACAGTAGAAATCCAAGATTTTTGGTCGAATTTACGTAGAATTGGCGGGATAGCTAGCGAAATTCTACCGGAGGAGATACCCTCCGTCGCACCCCATTTAGCCCTTCAACCAGAATTTGAATTTGCACATGCCGTTTATCAAATTTCTAGGTCAGTTCCCGATTTGCCGAAAGTTTTATTGAAGTCACATGTATTTAATAAAATTAAATATAAAATTTCAATTTAATATTTTGTTATTGTCATTAATTTATTTAGATAGAAATGCGTTTGAATTGGGGGTATGAAGGACGGTTTTCTATACAAAATTTTTGGATCGCAAAGTTTAACGTTTTTTGCCGGAGCCGATTTCAGCACACCTGATACAAATTTGCGTTATTCACAAGTGGAATAATTAGTTTAAGTAATAAAATAACATTTTACGAAAATATAAATCGGAAATCGAATTCAGGATGTGTTTTCTAAAAGCTGCAAAACAAAACCTATGACGGAATGTACTGGCATGGGGATTTATAATTTGTATCCCCGTCATACCAATTCGTCTAGGCAGAAATCCATTCGTGAAAACGATTTACTAATACTCCATCCTCCTCCTCAGTCCTAATCCCTTTTGGGATGTGGTGACAGCATCAGGCCTTCACAGCTTTTTCACAATTTCCCTCCATAATACTTCATACTGTTCGACTCTACCTCTTTTTCTCTACGCTTCTCTCTCAACCCTTCCCCTTCTTTCAACGCTTCCTCTTTTTCTCTTCCGCTTGTCTACGCTTCTCCTTTTCCTCTTCCATTTTTAAAAACCATGCGGGGCATCCGGACGTATCCATCTTTTTAAATTTCAGTAGATCTAGTCTTAACTATTAACAAGTACTTAATATTATCTTTATACCACTTCTGACACCAATGGTACAATTCTTGAAAATAACTTTATTTAATACTAACTTGTTTACAATACTTTAATTACAATGACAGCTATCAACTTCAACATACTACTGTTCAACCTGTCACCAAAATTTGTTTATAAATTTTTTCTGACGTTCCACACTTCACTAGACCTTCGAGGACTTTTCGATGACATCTTGAAACTTGTGACTTCTTTTTTTTTTCACGGGACTTTTTCTATATTAAATAAATTTCACGAAACTGTCGTAAAAATTGTTTGTCTACACCGTGTATAAAAAACAAAATTCGATAAGTTAGAAAACAGTCCTTCATTTATAATAAAACGTTAAATGATTGCGTTGGTTATTAACAGAAAGCTGGATTATCACCAATAATTAATATAGACAACGATGCATTACTAACTATCTAACCATATTATTGGAGTCAAAAAATGCTGCTTTTTATGACTTGCTTAAAAATTTATTTTATGAAATGTAAGAAAACGAAGGTAAAGAGTATTAATTTATTATTTATGTATACATTTTTACTTATAGTTACTTTGTTTTAGATATTACCTTAGTAGATTTAAAGACACTACTAGACAAGGAACAATAGATTTAATGTTAGGTAAGTAGATCCAGCGGGATAATTATTTAAATGTTTTGAATCTTTTTTTTTTCAGATTTCAGTATACTAGTTTTATGATGTATCTAAATGTACTCATTTTCCATTTTGAAACTTTCTTTTCGATCATTCTTGATAACTCTACGTTTTCCTTCTTTTTCATCCAATCTACGTTTTAGTATCATTATCAGTCGAAATTTAGCGCTAAAAAACATAATTGATCATTTTACCGGCAATATTATCACTCATTAAATCCTGGTTCTGGTGTATAGGAAATAGTAACCACAAACCCATGTGAAATTTTTATCATCTACTCAAAGTTTAGTTCAATTGTACCGTTAGCTTTGTAACCTCTTTCTTCTATATGTTAAAAGTTGGAACTAAGTATTATTGGTGGCTAAGAAATTTATATGTTTCAGCAGGATAGTAGACGAAAAATTCAAGAGCATAAAGAGCAAAAACTAAAAAATTTAGACACCTAATCAGAATAAATAAGGGAACAAGAGTATATATAAAACAATTTGAAAGACTTACCTTACTATCTAATTCTATAATACAATCCGGCCTTAAATATGTGAATTTCCAAAGACTTTATTAAAAAAAAAGAAAAACAATATTCTTATTTATTTAACCCAGTGTTTTTCAATCTTTTTGATTTTGCGACCCCTTTACAGGTTGAAATATTCTTACGATCCCCTTGTGTGATAGAAATAATTTAATTAAAATACTACATACGTTAGGTAATGATTTTTTGAACCTTAAAATTTGAACAATAACCTGAGTTATTGTTCAAAGTGAGCTTTCATAATCTACATGAGCAACTTTTGACATACTTTCCAGAATTTTGCACTCTGAAGCTGACAAAGGACGTAGACGGATTTTAAACATTTTTTGGAAAATCAACAAATCTGGCTGATGTCACCAGGGAAATGAAAGAATGTCTTCTAGATTTAGCTGCTAATGGCATGCTTAAAATGTTTTTCAGAATTTTGTTCGCAAAGTGTAGACGGATTTTGGATAAAAAAATACGAATATCCAGAGCTGGCAAGTAAAGCTCTTTTATTAGTGCAATTCGCCACCTCACACTTGTGTGAACTGATATCTTCGTCAATGGTAGACATTAAAACTAAAAAGAGAAATAAACTGCAATTAGCAAATCATTTCATTATTAATGTTTCAAAAATAGCACCAGAATTTGATAAACTTTTGAAAAATTAACAAGCACATCCTTCGCACTAAAATTGTGTTTTTTTTTGTACAAGAACCTTAACTTTTTCTATCAGCGGGCGACCCCCGAGTAACGCTTCGCTACCACCCTAGGATTCGCGACCCACAGATTGAAAAACACTGATTTAATCAATAAACCCGAAACTACTATTTTCTGAGGCTGCTATGTATGCCTTTTCGTAATGTATCTTCGAATACTCATATTGGTATTTCTTGCATCTCTTCCTGCACTTATTTTCCCATTTAATGACCAATCCTGGTCCCTACTACAGTCCTAAAATTTTTTCAGAGGAGTTCTTTTTGTCTAAATTGTGATTTTTGTTTGATGCTTTTTCTTCGTTTTTACTGAATTATATTCATTTTTAATATAAAATTTTCATTGTCTTTTTTAAGTTAGCTTTTTTTTTAATCACTTTTCCCTATATAAACTATAGATATATCTATATAAACGTATATTTGTAGGTAATTATGTACCCGAAGATATTTTCAACGAATCCAAAGCGTCACAGTTTGAAGAAGACAATGTAATCACTGCTGAACACGTGAAACTTCTGATCGAAGATTGCAAAAAGATGCTAATCAACCAACCAGAGCAAGTAGTCGGAGCTTGGGGTTTGATAAACGCAGACCCATTCACGGGAGATCCGAACGAAACCGAAATGGATTCCATCTTGATTCTGACCAGGGACTCGTACTTTGTAGCAGATTATGACGACCAGGTCGACAAAGTTACCAATTATCAAAAAGTATTGTTGGAAGACGTTGTTTTGTTGGAGTTCGGAATGGCAGAATCGAGTACGTCGTTGTTCAAAACGTCCAAACATCGATATAGCATTAGGATTAATTATAAGGTTAATAATGTTAGCGGATATTATCACATGTTTAGGTCGACGAACTTTAGGTTCTTTAATAATATGGCAGTTGTCGTGAAGAATATAGAAGAGGAGATTGGTAAGTGAAATACGTTCAGTATGAATTATAAATTACTAATTTAAGTTTTCATTATAATACTAAATAAATATTGATTCTTATTTCCATAGAATATATCCAATTTGGTGTTGGATGTATGGCTTGGATGACTTCTACCTCTGTTGGGATGTTATCTTTCTCTCTTTCATCGTCAATGTCCTCGAGTTGGATTTCTGATTCGTGGAGCCCTGTCTCACCTCTTATATTTAGCCTTTCCTCGAAGTGTTCTGTCCATCTTTCTAGTATCTGGTCCTGATCACCAATGATCTCCACCGTTCTATTTCTAACGATTGATAATCTAGGTTTGAATTCTTTCCTGTTCTGGTTAATCCTCTTGTAGAACTTTCGCGTTTCTGCTTGTGCCTTATAGTTCTCTAGTTCTTTTAGTTGACTCTCTATATGCTCTTTCCTGTTTTTTTTTTAAATCTTTGTTTTTCTTCTCGTCTCAGCTGCCTATACTCTTCCTCTGTTTGTCTCTTCTATATGCCTGATTTTTTCTTTGCGTTGCTAGTGCGCATTCCTCATCGCACCAGTCTGACCTTATTTTTTTAAGTTCTTGCTTTCCGATAACTTCAGTTGCTACTTCTTTCAATATGGCTCTGCACTGCCTCCAATAGTTGTTAATATCTTCAACTATAACATCCATGCAGCCTTCCAGCTTGCTTTCGAGACTTTTTTCGAATCTCTTAGCTATCTCAGGGTTCGTCGACGCTTCTACTTTAAACTTTTTCTCTTTAACTCCTTTTTCTTTCTTTGTTTGGGAGATTCTAACTCTTAGTTTAGCTTGTAGTAGGTAATGGCCCGAGTCTATGTTCGCCCCGCGTCTTGCATGTACGTCTACCACGTCGCTGAAGTGTCTTGATGCATGGGGCTTTTGATGTGGGCTTTTGAATCCAGCAAAAGTGGAGACTACCATGAGGAGATGGATGGGAAGTCGTTTGAAAGTTGGCTCCAAAAGATTTTACCAACAAAGATATTCAAAATTGGGTTCGCTCAAAAAACATTCCATTTGAAGAAACTTTTAGAAATCAGAAATAGAAAAAATTTGTTAAAAGTGCAACTTTTAGAAATCATTAAACATCATAGAGGCAAATATAATAAGTACATGGTAGATGAACTGGTAAGAAGCACAAATAGAACACTGTTAAGGTTGCCTCCTTACCACTGCGAGCTCAATCCAATAGAGCTTATATGGGCGCAAGTCAAGAATTATGCTGCTGCCAATAACACAACATTTAAATTTGCTTACATTAAAAATTTATTTGATGCAGCTATATCTGCTGTAACCATGGAAAAATGGAAAAACTGCACCAGACATGTAAAAGAAGAAGTAGAGCCAAAAGTGTGGGAGTTGGACAATTTAATTGATGCCCAAATTGAGCCAAATTAATAATTTTATAAACTTTCTTTTTTCTGCATACATACTTTATTTTGTGGCTAATAGCTCTAGATAGACAAAGGATGTTACATAATGTGGAAACTTTGTAATAAAATTTGGAGATGCGGAAAGTGGCCCAGAGAATGGCGCACATCATTGTGCATACCAATCCATAAAAAAGGAACAACTACAAAGTGTAGTAATTATCGTACCATCTCACTGATTTCCCATCCAAGCAAAATATTACTAAGAATCATTAAACGCCGTTTGCAACAGTACTTAGACAACCAAATTCCCCAAGAACAAGCAGGCTTTGTCAAAGGGAAGGGTACGAGAGAGCAAATCCTTAATATGCGGCAGCTCATAGAAAAGGCCCGCGAATTTAAAATTCCAATAATAATCTGTTTTCTAGACTACCAAAAGGCATTTGATTGTGTAAAGTGGGAAGTTCTCTGGACAGTTCTTCATGAGATGGGAGTTCCAGATCATTTGGCAATATTAATTAAAAACTTATACGAAGATAACTCAGTTAAAATAAGAATTGAAAACCAGCAATCTGATACCTTCAAAACCAGCAGAGGTGTACGACAAGGCTGCATACTATCTCCAGACCTGTTCAATTTATATGGAGAATACATAATGAGGAACGCACTCGATGGATGGAGAGGCGGCATCTCCATTGCAGGGAAAAAGGATCTCAAACTTAAGATTCGCAGACGATACAACACTGATAGCAACATCTGAAGAGGAGATGTCGAGACTGATAAAGAGAGTAGAAACCGAAAGCAACAAGTGTGGGCTCAAGATTAATAATCAGAAAACAAAAATCATGAGTGTGGACCACGCGAATATCCTCCAAACAACAGGCGCCCTAAATCAATTCGAGAAAGTAGACGAGTTCATTTATTTAGGATCTTCCTTAAGCAATGCAGCCTCCTGCCATACGGAAATTCGCAGAAGAATAGGAATGGCCAAGAACGCGATGAGTCGACTGTCAAAAATATGGAAGGACCGCTCCTTGTCCAAAAAACTCAAAATGAGACTGGTACGGACACTCGTTTTTTCAATCTTTAGTTACGGTGCCAAAACATGGACAATAAAATCAGAGGATAGGAAAAGGAGTGACGCATTCGAAATGTGGTGCTGGAGACGAATGCTACGCGTCTCGTGGACGGAGCACAGATCCAATCAGTCGATTCTCGAAGAGCTAAACATTCAGACCAGACTCTCCTCTCAGTGTCTTGCAAATGTTTTAAAGTTTTTTGGCCACATTGCGAGAAGAGACAATGACAACTTAGAAAGACTAATTGTGTGCGGAAACGTAGAAGGACGTAGAGGCCGAGGACGCTCACCTATCCGATGGTCAGATCAAGTACAGAAAGCCACTGGAGAGACGTTTTCCGAGTCCATGAGAGCAGCCCAAAATCGCAAGAGATGGAGAGAATTGACAGCCCGCATTGTAGGGAATCACGATCCTCAGCAATGAGGAAACGACAAGAGAGAGAGAGAGCTCTAGATCTTGTAAATCATTTTTATATTTAAAAAATTGGTGTACTATAATTTGTATCTGTCACAGTTTGTCTGTTTTATATTGTGTAGTTGTTTATATATGTTTAATTTACTAGTGCGGCCCTGAGCAAAACGCGTGTTTTTAGTGTGCATTTGTTTACATCGTCCGTAGCTTGAAATTGAATTTACTTTAGTTTAAAATTATCATTCTTCTGAGGAAGTTGATGTTCCAGCGGAACCAGTCAAGCTGAATATATTCTGGGGACTTCATGTTGTATATTAAATTATCGAGAGATCTCATTATAATTTTAGCCTTAATGCATTGTGTGACTCTACCTGTAAAAACATACTACACTCATAAATATAATAAAAGACTATCAATTTTTTGTAGAATCCTTGAAGTCCATCTGTGAAGGATATCTGGTTGCACTAGACATTTGCGGATTGAAACCTGTTCCCTTCGTTCAAGGACAAGCATTAGACAGACGAAAATCGAAAGTTATCAGTAGCGGTAGGTCTTCTAATAGTATCTACTTAGATATAACTTCTTTACCTCAAATGACTCGAAATGTTTCTGAAAGTCAGTTGCTCTCATTAAAGAATGTTGGTAAGTTCGTGACGTACTTGCATGAATATTAGGGTACTTTGCAATTTGTTCAAATGCTTCAATAAATAAAAATTAGAGACTTGCAATTTAATTAACTAATGGTTAATGCACAATACGTTTAACTAGAATACAGGGTAGATACAGTCATATTCATGGTTTGTTAATTGCATGAAAAATGCATGGACGGAACAACTCACTGCTAACATACAATGCAATTTAAAAAAGTAATAATGGTTTACATTTTATTTAATTTTTTTTATTTCATAATAAAGTATATTAGAAATGTCATCAATTTTTTTTCACCTCTAGATAAATATGGTTCTATATAAACAGCTAATGAAGATCGCAAAGGAAAATGCTGTAAACATTATTATGGGAGATTTTAATGCCAAAGTAGGTGAAGGGCGGACCGAAAACGTAGTCGGAAACTTTGGTTTGGGTCAAAGAAATGATAGAGGAGAAATGCTGGTCCAATTTTGCCAAAAAGAAAATCTAATGATCGCAAACACCTGGTTTAAACTACCAAAAACAAGATTATATACATGGAAAGCACCTGGAGATAATCAAAAGCACATAATAAGAAACCAGATTGATTATATATTAATTGACAAGCGTTATAGAAATGGAATCAGGGCAGTTAAAACATATTCCGGGACTGACATCGGTTCCGACCATAATCGTGTTATTATACCCCCTCTGTGGGGGTATAAAACCTAAAGGTCGTGAGTTCGAATCTCACCTGGGTGGAAATTTCCGTTTATTAAAAAAATTAATAAATGAAAATAATTTCTATCCTTGTGTGATCGGTACTCACCGGAGGGACCGCAGACGTTCGGATACAATTAGCGTCTCTTAGCAAAGACAATGACGTCGACTTTGCTAAGTATCAAGACAATTACTCAATTACACACATAAACACACATACACACACTACATTAATAAACTTATCTTGATTAAGACTGGCTGAATGACAATTGTCCAAGCCAAAACACACAAAAAAAATAATCGTGTTATCGGTAAAATCTCAATTAAACTGAAGAAAATCAAACACAGAGAGAAGATAAAACCTAGCCTCGAAAAACTTAAAGATCCAGTAGTGCAGACAGAGATAAAGAAAATACTCAATGATACACTCAAAAGAAACATTCAGTGAAGCATCCGCGGTAGCAGAGGATTCAGTAGAAATTATTTGGCACATCTTCAAAACAACAATTACAACTATACAAAGAGAACAACTACAAGACAACATCAGAAAAACAAAGAATACATGGATCACACAAGAAGTCCTAGAACTGATAGACATAAGGAGATCTTACAAAAATAGCAATGGAGAAAAATATAACGAAACTCAGAGAACAATCCTAAACAAAATCAGGAAAGCTAAAGAAGAATGGATAAACAGCAGATCTGAGGAACCGAGGCAATTACTTAAAAAAACATGACTACTTCAATGCCTACAAAAAGATTAAGGAAGTCACAAATATGAAGAAAAAATTCACTACAACAATTCTCGTAGATGATAACAACCAAATAGTATCTATCCCAGAAAATGTAGGAAATATATGGGAAAAATACATCGAAGATCTGTTTGATGACGAGAGAACAGAACCACAAATGAATATAGTACAAGAAACAGTACTCAGGTCCAGATGAGATATATGTAGAGATTAAAAAACTTACCAATAAAGAAAATCTTCAGTCCTTAACACTACTATACAAAATACATACCACTAGAATTTTCCAAGAATACTGGCTTAGATCGACATATATGGCTATACCCAAGAAAAATAAAGCAAATAGAATAGAATAGAATAGAATAGAATAGAAATATGTTTATTGTCACTGAAAATTATTGACCAATTTTATGGACAAAGCTAAAAAATAAATCAGTCAAATAGTACAAAAAGTATAAAACAAAAACAAATATAGTAAAAAACAGAATAACACAATTTTAAATTAGTAAAATTATTGTATAACCTAGGAATTTGTACAGACAACAACAAATGAGACAAATTGTAGCCATTGCTTGAGACACCCAAATGTAATTATAAACAATACTAATTTTGTTTCTTTGTTATACATTAAGAAACTCGTCAACTGAATAATATGGTCTTTCTGAGAGATATATTTTTGTCACCTTACGAAACTTAATGAAGGATGTTGCGGATTTAATTTCTCTTGGAAGGTGATTATAAAGTTTCTTTGCACGATATAGAATAGAATTCTTTACTAGCTGAGTGGACGGGATCGGCAAATAAACGTTACAATCCGAATTTCTAATGGAGTAGCCATGGTCAGGTCTATCGGGAAAAATGTTTAGATGCTTTCGAATCAAACAAACCGTTTCCAAAATAAATAAAGAGGGAAGCGTCAAAATTCCGTGATTTTTGAAGTAGGTCTTGCAATGAGTTGTTTGTTTGAGACCAAATAGATAACGGATTGCTCCTTTTTGCAACTTAAAAATAGTATCAAATTGGGCCGCTGTACTAGAATCCCAAAATGGAAGCCCATATCGAAGATGGGACTCGAACAATGAGAAATATGCCATTTTGGCAGAAGATAAATTTAGTTCCTTCGAAACAGATCTTATTGCAAATCAAGCTGAGGCTAGTTTCTTCCTTAAGGAGTCAGTATGCAAGGACCATTTGAGATCACTGTCAATGAGAATACCTAGAAATTTCACGGAATTTACGATATTGATTTGGCTCTCATTCAAAAGCAAGGGTTGCATGACTCCTTTATAAGATAATGCTACAGTCTTATCCACGTTAAAGCTAAGTAAGTTGGAGTCTGACCAAGCCTTGATTATAAGTAAATCAGCGGTTATAATTGAATGAAGCGTTGAAATATCAGAGCTGCTCCAAGTAATACTGGTATCATCAGCAAATAGAAAAATTTTCCCTTTAATTTTCAAGTAAGTGATGTCATTAATGAAAAGTAAAAAAAGAATGGGACCTAATACTGAACCTTGCCGTACTCCACACTCAATATATTTACAACTAGAGTCGGTGTCATTTATTCTAACCAATTGTTTCCTACCTACCAAGTAAGTTTTGAACCAGTTCAAAGACACACCCCGAATTCCATAGAAAGTTAATTTTTTGAATAGAATGTCGTGATTTACGCAGTCAAAGGCTTTGGAATAGTCGCAGAAAACGGTGGCGGAGGAGAGGTTACTGTTTAGTGATAGATATACATTATGTAACACAGAAAATATTGCATCACTAGTGCATTTATTAGACAAAAAGCCGAACTGATTTTGCGATAAAATATTATATTTAAGGAGAAAGGGCATAAGTCGAACTTTTATGTCTTTCAATAATTTTTGATAGTGCTGGTAACAAGGCAATAGGTCTATAGTTGCAGGCATCAGATTTTTCTCCACTTTTATGAAGAGGAATGACGATGGCAGTCTTTAGGCAGTTAGGGAATGTACCTTTTTCAAGGGAATCATTTACTAGCGAGACCATGACCTCCAAAACATTATGCGGTAGATTTGAGAAAATTTTAATAGATAATCCATCTGTACTACAGGACGATGTGCTTTTTATACTACGAATTGTTGAAATGAGTTCCGTCTTATCAACTGGTCTTAAAAAGAAGGTATCAGCAATGTTTTTTGAATTAGAGAGATAAGAAACTGGATCTTGTTGTGGCGAAATAGTTGAGGTTATATTTTTACTCACATTAACAAAGTAATCATTTAGATTTTCGGGGTTAGGAAAAGAAAAGGTTTGATTCGCTGTACTGGTTTTATTTCGAAAATCGTTTATTATTGACTAAGTTTCTTTTGAAATATTGTTGGAGCTTGTTAAGCGATTATGAAAGTAGGATTTTTTGGCTACTTTGAGTAGTTTTATATAGCATTAGATGTTCACAGTTCAGATTAATTAGCCTGATTAGCCATTTTCTGAAAATTTTACTCAAAATTGTACACCAACGTATATACAGAGAATGCGACAGTCAATTTCGTTTTCTTATGGGGCTTGGTACGACGGAGGCATTATTTGGCCTCCAGATATTACTACAAAAATGCCGATATCAACGAAAAGACGCGTTTCTCTGTTTTATCGACTACGAAAAAGCGTTTGCTTGAGTAAAACATACAGACCTCATAGAAACCCTAACACAACATGGTATATTAATTACTATTAAACTGGGAATAAGCCACAATTAAAGATAAAAATACAAAATTTGTTTAATTTACTGTTTGTATTTTGAGAACGATTTCCGAAGTGGAAATTGAAACGTCAATAAACGTATTTTTATCTTTAATTGTGGCTTATTCCCAGTTTAATAGTATTTAATTTACAATGCCACAAGAAAATAGCTTCAAAACAATACAACATGGTATAGATCATAACACGGTAGTCCTCATTAAAAACTTATATTGAGATCAAATATCGTCGATTAAAATAAAAAATCGTATGACAGCAGAAATGTCAATAAAAACAGGAGTTCGCCAGGGCTGTGTACTTTCTGCACTATTGTTTAATATATATTTCGAAAAGATCTTCCAAAATGCCCTCGAAAATATTGAAGAAGGAATAAAAATCAATGGAGAAACTGTAAACAACTTAAGATACGCACACGACACCGTCATTATTGCGGATAGTACTGAGGGTTTGCAACGACTTTTGAATGCCATAACCAGAGAGGGAGATAGCTTGGGGCTGAATATAAACACAAATAAAACACAAGTTATGGCCGTTACACGTGCAACAAATGCCGACATTAATCTTCAACAAACAGATCAACCCGTACAAAAATTTCAGTATCTTGTTTGCTGAATAACAAACAATCTTGACTACGAAGTTGAAATACGTGCTCGCATAGAGTATGCTAGGTTTTTCAAAGAATGAAAAAATTCCTAATAAACTCTACCTTATCGTTGCATATCCGAT